ACTTTTGCACTAGGTTGCATGATAAATTCGCTGTATCTTTGAAATCATGTTAAACAAATTTTTGGTCATGTTTTATTGATTTAAAATCATTTGCACAAATTGCTTTGTCAGTTTGAGCAATTTCTGTGAAGTTCTGGTAGATTTGCAGTCAAAAATGTTAAATAGTAGCTCCTTTTGCAATAGGTTGCATCATAAATTCGCTGTATCTTTGAAATAATGTTAAACAAATTTTTGGTCATGTTTTATTGATTTAAAATCATTTGCACAAATTGCTTTGTCAGTTTGAGCAATTTCTGTGAAGTTCTGGTAGATTTATAGTCAAAAATGTTAAATAGTAGCTCCTTTTCCAATAGGTTGCATCATTAATTCGCTGTATCTTTGAAATAATGTTTAACAAATTTTTGGTCATGTTTTATTGATTTAAGATCATTTGCACAAATTTTTGGTCAGTTTGAACAATTTCTGTGAAGTTCTGGTAGATTTGCAGTCAAAAATATTAAATAGTAGCTACTTTTGCACTAGGTTGCATTTTAAATTCATTGTATCTTTGAAATCATGTTAAACAAATTTTTTGTCATGTTTTATTGATTTAAAATCATTTGCACAAATTGCTTTGTCAGTTTGAGCAATTTCTGTGAAGTTCTGGTAGATTTGCAGTCAAAAATGTTAAATAGTAGCTCCTTTTCCAATAGGTTGCATCATTAATTCGCTGTATCTTTGAAATAATGTTTAACAAATTTTTGGTCATGTTTTATTGATTTAAGATCATTTGCACAAATTTTTGGTCAGTTTAAGCAATTTCTGTGAAGTTCTGGTAGATTAGCAGTCAAAAATATTAAATAGTAGCTACTTTTGCACTTGGTTGCATCATAAATTCGCTGGATCTTTGAAATAATGTTAAACAAATTTTTTGTCATGTTTTATTGATTTAAGATCATTTGCACAAATTTCTTTGTCAGTTTGAACAATTATCTGTGAAGTTCTGGCAAATTTGTAGTCGAATATGTTAAAAAGTAGCTACTTTTGCACTAGGTTGCATCATAAATTCGCTGTATCTTTGAAATAATGTTTAACAAATTTTTGGTCATGTTTATTGATTTAAAATCATTTGCACAAATTGCTTTGTCAGTTTGAGCAATTTCTGTGAAGTTCTGGTAGATTTGCAGTCAAAAATGTTAAATAGTAGCTCCTTTTGCAATAGGTTGCATCATAAATTCGCTGTATCTTTGAAATAATGTTAAACAAATTTTTTGTCATGTTTTATTGATTTAAAATCATTAGCACAAATTGCTTTGTCAGTTTGAGCAATTTCTGTGAAGTTCTGGTAGATTTGCAGTCAAAAATGTTAAATAGTAGCTCCTTTTGCAATAGGTTGCATCATAAATTTGCTGTATCTTTCAAATAATGTTAAAAAAATTTTTGGTCCAGTTTTATTGATTTAAAATCATTTGCACAAATTGCTTTGCCAGTTTGAGCAATTTCTGTGAAGTTCTGGTAGATTTGCAGTCAAAAATATTAAATAGTAGCTACTTTTGCACTAGGTTGCATTATAAATTCATTGTATCTTTGAAATCATGTTAAACAAATTTTTTGTCATGTTTTATTGATTTCAGATCATTTGCACAAATTGCTTTGTCAGTTTAAGCAATTTCTGTGAAGTTCTGGTAGATTTGCATTAAAAAATATTAAATAGCAGTTACTTTTGAAATAGGTTGCATGATAAATTCGCTGTATCTTTGAAATAATGTTTAACAAATTTTTGTCATGTTTTATTGATTTAAGATCATCTGCACAAATTTCTTTGTCAGTTTGAGCAATTTCTGTGAAGTTCTGGTAGATTTGCAGTCAAAAATATTAAATAGTAGCTCCTTTTACAAAAACTTGCATCATAAATTTGCTGGATCTTTGAAATAATGTTAAACAAATTTTTTGTCATGTTTTATTGATTTAAGATCATTTGCACAAATTGCTTTGTCAGTTTGAGCAATTTCTGTGAAGTTTTGGTAGATTTGCAGTCGAAAATGATAAAAAGTAGCTCCTTTTGCACTAGGTTGCTTCATAAATTCACTGTTTCTTTGAAATCATGTTAAACAAATTTTTTGTCATGTTTTATTGATTTCAGATCATTTGCACAAATTTCTTTGTCAGTTTGAACAATTACTTAACATTCAAAAATGTTAAGAAGTAGCTAAATGGCTTCTAGGTCACAGTCAATCATTTAGTAATTCTTACTCAGGATTAATTAATGTTTTTAGTCAATTAACAGTTAAAACAACAGTTAAAATTCTCAAACTATCACTTGTTATTCTGTGTGCTAAAAACTTAGAACTGAAATTAGTTCAAAATTTCTAAGACCGTTAAAATTCAAATAATTTAAATCGTTATTATTCTTCGAATAGTTTCTTATTCGATTATCATACTCAAATTAATGTATTCGTTTCATATTATCTAAGTCTTATTTTGTTATTTCATCCAACTGTATTGCAGTGTCATATCTCTTAAGAGTCTGACAAATAATAAACATAAAACAAACATGATAAAGAATGCTTATATAGATATAAAATCGATATTTTTTGGATCCGACGCTATTTTGGATTTTAAGATTTGAAACCTATGTGAAACTTATTTTTGCGATAACTTTGAACTTTTTTTACTTTATGAGCTGAATTTTGGCAAGTAGACAAAGTGGCTGTTCCTGAATATGGAGACTTTGATTTCTACTCGAATTCTGTGTGGGAAAAATGCGTTTCGGTCGATTGTGTGTAATCACTTCTTACTGGTTTCCTTTTTTTCTGATCTTAAATTTTTTATGGTTGTTTTATTGTTTATTTTATCTTTATTTATATTCTGTATCCCAAGAATGACATCCCTTAATCATAAAAACAAAGAATAATTCATCAATCAAAGTAATGAACTTGAACAAAAAAAAATAAGGTATTTTACCACAGGATATATCAATTGTAATTCACTTATTGCATTTGCGAAGTATATGCTCAAAATAATATTTATATAAGAACCTTACAAATTCTTTGTTAAAGCTTTGCTGAATTTTCATTTCATTTTTTTTTTTTTTTTGTCATTCATCGACTTATAAAGTTCGAAAATGAGAGCGATGGAGCTATTATTAACCTGAAAATTCCTCAATAATGAAACTAAACATAAAAAATGTGGTAAAAATAAAGCACTTAAAGATTTATTTTAGGTTTAATCTATTGAAATATTAATAAATGGCATTTTGCGAAAAACATATTTCAGATCAAACAGCGTCATTGGCTGATTGGTTCAAAGAGTGTGCTTTGCTTTAAAATAAAGTATTTCACGCGCAAGGGTTCAAGTCAGGATGGTCGAGTGGTCTAAGACGCTGCGTTCAGGACTTTCTTGAAAATCGCAGTCTCCTCTCGGAGGCGTGGGTTCGAATCCCACTTCTGACAAACCCCCCTTTTTTTTGTTTTTGTATCCATTTTTTTAAATATTTCCTTTTTGAAAATAACAATCTTCTAATTAGCTAATTTAATATATTTTTTTTTCTTATTTTTATTTCGTTCAACTTAATTAAATTCGAGCATCGTAATTGTGAGATTACCGTACATTAAAAATTTTAAAAAATTTTTGTGCATTTTTATATGAGGAATAGACGTATTGTCTATCTGCCGCCTAACTGCTCCTGATGTGGGCTTTTGCTCAAAATATGTGCACTTTGTCCATTGGAAAGAAGTGTTTTCAATTTAAAAAAATTGGTTTAAAAATTATTTACAAATGAATAGGCAATAAAAATTATAATAATGCATTTAATGTTGACTTAAAAGTTATAATAAAATCATTGGGAGAAAACTAATACATTGACAATAGAAATTTGAAACATGTTTTTAAAAAAAAAACTGAAACGTGTACTATGGTTTTTTATATTCACACCATATTTAAGTGTTTGTTGCTGGAATTTTACATTTTCTCCATTTTCTCTAATTTTTTTTTTTTCAAATTCATTGCTGAGAAAACGTAGACATCGTTGAGAAATCTAGTTTTTTGCATTAGATCATTGATACCTGATAGAAAAGCTGTATAGTTTATGAGCAAGGTAGAAACAGCCGTTGCTTCTAAAAAAGCAAATAACCTTCTTTTCTTAAGATTTCAAAAACCAAAAGTTACCAATTTTTTTTTTTTAAAAAAAATAAGAATATTTGGCACATCCATTTAGCTTTAAAACTTCAAACATATGCTGGATGAAACTCAAAATTGAACAAACACAAACGATGCTCAAAAATAGCAGGCTGATTTGTATTTTAAACAAAATTTATTTTATAAATGTGTGTAAAAGTTTTTATCACGCAGAAAAATTAATAAGATACCCCTCGTGACCAACCTTTTTTTAATGGAGATAAATATTACTGATTTGTGCAAACTCTGGATGTAATTTAATTTTTTTATTAATTCTTGGAATTACGTTGAAATTCAATTTTTATTATTTTTTAAATAAGCATTAGAATGTACAGATATACCAAGAAAACAAGGAAATATTTCTTAGAAAAAATAACATTATCCCAAAATGCAAGCGTTATCTAAATTTCAAGTATAAAGTAGCATTTTATGAATTGAATTTTTTTTCTACCTCCTACTTTTAAATTCTTATACTTGAAGCGAAAAAATTGAATGTATTTTACTACGGCAATTATAAAAAATTACAAAAGTCCTCGTGTTATATCGTGTGACTCAGCGCATTTCTGTCGCATTAATCAGAATTTGATCAGCAAAATATAAACGTGGATTAAGATGTTAAACTAATTTACTTCAATGAAACAATTTTTAAATAAATTTTTGCATTTTAAACTCTTTTATAGTATAAATTATAATACCCCAGCTGAACGAAATGCAGTATTAATCTACCATTTAGAAAAAAAGTTTTCAAAAAGGCGCCAAAAAGAGAGAGAAAAATGAGATTATTTTGAGAGACCTTATAAATCGTTTCTGCTTCGTTCACATATTTTTATTTTTTTATTCTTGTTCACATCAGTTAGTGCCCAGTTTTTGCTTGAAAAACAGTTCTTTCTTTAATTCATCGTTTTTAAAAATTTTTGCCACAATTATTTAAAATGGCTTTTACGTTATGTAAAATTGTTAAATGCGTAAACAAAAATGCATTGGTTACTCCATTATCATCAGTTATATCTTCAAGAAATTGTAAGTCGTGTCAATATGTATTTAATGCCGGTAAAAATTATCATTGTATGAGTGAGTGTTTTTTTCAGTGAGAGACAAAAATCTCACAATACTTTCAATGTTTAAAAAAATTATTGAGTAAAAACACTGTAAGATAAGCAATATATCAAAACTGCGTGCGTAAATTGTTTGATAATATTTTTTAAATCTTAAAATATCTTTAAATATTTCTTTATTGGCCTTATTATGTCACTTTGAACGTTCATCCATCTCCTTACTTATGAATGTAAAGAAAAATATATACTTTCGGATGATATTTAATTATTAAAACGTCAAGCATGTTCTCATTTAAATTTAGAATTCCAGCAAATAAAAATTTCAGCTGTATAGGTTTACATAATTTAAGAAACTCCACATCACTTATTCATTCATTGATTACGTTCACATGTTGATACTTCCCATTATTAGCGCATTTTCGAAAACTTGTAGCTTAATAACTCACTTTGAACGGCAGGATAAAGATAAAATAGGATAAAAACTTTTTAACCAGACATCGTAGAAAGCTCGAATATGTTTAATAGCTCAGTTTCATCGAATTATTGGCCAATTGAATATTTTCTAAAGTAAAAATATCTCATTACACAATGATTCAGAATCGGAAAAAATGTTCAAAAATTCAAAAATTTCATGTTAATTAAACTTTGTCTTTTAAATGCCAGATTAAAGATCTTAACTTGAGGCATATCCTATGAAAATATCTCGTCCCAATTTGATGTCTAACTCCAGAAATCATTACTTTAATCTCACTCAAAATTTGTTAACAATTTGTGTATGAAAAAAAAATATGATTTTTTCTACTTTAAGTTGTTATTTGGATGTCTTGGAAGCAGTTGCTAGCTAATTTAAGCTTAGCTTTACATATAAAAACAACAAACTCAATATAAATCTGCTTATTAAGCCTTAAAAATGAATTGAAATCTGAGTATTTTTGCACAACTTAAACTATTCATAAGTTTAAAAGTCTTCCAAAGACCTCTCTGAAACCTATACAAATCAATTAATTAAGCTTAATTCTATCTTCCATACAACTGGGGACATGCCGTTTGATGCCGTTTTCGATATATTTGCGATCAAAGTTTACATCAATTTTCATACAAAATTTGATCATGCACAATATTTTTTGATAAACTTTTACAAAGTTTTGGTAAAAAATCATGTTTATCCTTTATATTAAGGACTGATTTTTAGAGCAATGAACGAAAACATTATCTAGAAGATGCTAAAAGATTCAAATCAAGAGAAATTAACAAAAAACTTTCAATTTTCTAATGTGTCGGAAAAATATTGTGCACAAGGAATTTTTGAACATTTTTTCCGAATCTGAATCATTGTGCATTAATTAAAGTATAACAACTCATAAGAATTAGACAAAATGATAGTAAACAACTTTTCATATAAGAAACTTCACAAATATGGGTGCTAAAGTGTCTAATTAAGAGAAAATTTTGATTCAAACACATTTTGATGCATATCTCGACTTAATGAGCATTAAAGAAACAAAATTTCAGCTCTTTTTGAAAAAAAAAATCATTTTTATAACGTTTTAATTTGTTTGGATATTTCATTCTCGAAAATAAGATCTTGTTCATAGTCATTGGAACAAATCCTGTAGAATTCAAGAGTTTTTTTTTGCGAAAATTGATGTGTTAATTATAATAATCCGCTGTAAAAAATATAAACATAGTGGGAAATTTTGAAGTTTATAATACCGTTAAAATATTAATGTTTTTTTATTTTCTAAAATACAAAAAAGAAGCGTTGCTACTTTTAGAGCTTTTTGATTATTAACTCGCTTTTTTGCTTATCAAATACTGATCGCTGCGTCAAAAATGCGCTGAAGTTCCTTGATTAATAACACGAGAAGTTTTGTATTTTTTTTTCTTATCATTTAGTCAATTGTCGAGTTGTGGAGTATATGTAATTTTCCATTGAATGTATAAAATTTAATGAAAGCACTCGTGATATAAAATTTATTTATATAAACCTTACCATATGCAAAATCAATTATTTATATTATGTAATAACAATACGTTTATAGATTATTTTATTTAATAAATAATACACTTTGAAAATAAATAGATATATACCAGATACGCTAGTTCTTAAATTGTCTTTGTTTATACATTGATACATAGGCGATTCTTTGGATGCGTTTTTACAGAAATGCATCATTAAAATGATTTTTAATCAATATTTTGCATTGGAGAGGCTCAGAAGACAATTAAATATTGTACAACTTTTTAAATCCTACAATTCTGTATAAGGGCGATTCTTTACTGGGTAAAATAACGAAAATAAAAAATTGTTTTGAAATTAAGTTTTGTTCGACTAAAAAGTATTCATTAACTTGTGAAATGTTATACTGAATGATAGTAAATTACAGATCCTAACCCACAAAGAGCATGCTCAGAGCATGATAAATTGAGCTTGATCAGACTTTTTGAGCGTGCTCACCTAGAGCCACCTACGGTACCTATTTGAGCATGATAATTAAGACTCTTTCGTGAGCATGATCAAGATCGCGATCAGAAGAGATTTGCCGAGATTCGAACCTGGAGCGCTGAGTCGTAATATGCCGTTCACTTATCCTCTGATGTATTGCTGTCTGAAATGATATATTTTTAAAATGGCAAAAACGCGTACTGTTTTTAGGGCCATATTTTTTTCATTTTTGGATTTCTTGCCCTAATATTTTCAAGTGCAAGATATGTTTAGGTCCATAATTTTATGTTTTTTGGACATCTTGCCCTAATATTTTCAAGGGCAACATATGTTTAGGTCCATAATTTTATGTTTTTTGGACATCTTGCCCTAATATTTTCAAGGGCAAGATATGTTTAGGTCCATAATTTTATGTTTTTTGGACATCTTGCCCTAATATTTTCAAGGGCAAGATATGTTTAGGTCCATATTTTTATGTTTTTTGGACATCTTGTCCAATTTTTTTAGGGCAAGATCAAGATATCAAGCTCAGAGTAGGATCTTGAACGTGCTCGGTAAGATTCTTTTAAGAGCATGAAATAATTTTGTCACACGAAAAGTGGAGATTCTCAGATCATGCTCAAGAGCAAGCTCAAAAAGTGTCTCACGTGAGAACCTTAAATTTTCAAGCTCAGAGCACGATCTTCAGCATGCTCACTAAGGTTCTCTTGGGAGCACATTAAATAATCATTCTCTCATCAAGCTCATTTTTTGTGAGGTTCTCTTATGTTGTTAGGGAGAGCTCGAAGTCGATAGGGTTCATGTTCGAGTCATCTCGGAGCTACTAGCTTATAACGATAAAATAGGGTAGTAAAAAAAAATTTGATTGACTTTTTTCAGGCTCAGGAAAGTCTCGCGTAGATGTTGCCAAACCTGTTGTTGAAATGGATGGTGATGAAATGACTAGAGTAAATTCATTTAGAATGTTTTAAACAACTTTGAAATAAATCTAATTAACAACTCTTTCAGATCATCTGGCAATTTATTAAAGAAAAGCTCGTTTTTCCATATGTTAAAGTTGAATGCTTGTATTATGATTTGGGATTACCTTTTAGAGACCAAACTGATGATCAAGTGACAATTGATGCTGCTTATGCTGTTTTAAAGCATAATGTTGGTATCAAGTGTGCAACAATCACTCCGGGTAATAATGTTTTGTTTTTTTTTTTGTTCTGTATAACAAAGTTTATTGTAAAAATATTTACAGATGAGCAACGTGTCGAAGAATTTAAATTGAAAAAAATGTGGCTATCACCAAACGGAACAATTAGAAACATACTTGGAGGAACAGTTTTTCGCGAACCTATTTTATGCAAGAATATTCCTCGTTTAGTCCCAGGTAATATTATGAATTTCTTATTTGGAGTAAATTAAGTTCTTTGAAATTTTTAAAAAACAATTAGGTTGGATTAATCCAATTGTCATTGGACGTCACGCTTTTGGTGATCAATACAGAGCTAAAGATATGGTAATTTCGAAACCAGGTACAATTTCAATAGTTTTTAAGGGAGATGATGGCTCTGTTGAAGAAACTGAAGTTTACAAGTTCAATGATGGTGGAGTGATGTTAGGTATATTTCTTAAATATTTTTATTTTGGTTTGTAATTTAAAAACTACAAATTTTAAAATATTTGTTAGGAATGTACAACACTGATGAATCAATTACTGCCTTTGCTCACTCATCGTTTCAAGTTGCTCTTCAAAAAGTAAAAATAAAAATTTAAAAATACAATTAATCAATTTTATTATCGGTCCATTTATTAATTTTAGGAATGGCCACTATATATGTCTACTAAAAACACTATATTGAAAAAATATGATGGCCGCTTTAAAGATATTTTCCAGGAAATCTTTGAAAAGCACTATCAAAAACAATTCGATGATAAAAAAATATGGTACGAGCACAGATTAATTGATGACATGGTTGCACAATCTTTAAAATCATCAGGAAAATTTGTTTGGGCCTGTAAAAATTATGATGGCGATGTTCAGGTACTTTTAAACAATTAATTAATATTTTTCCAAAATTCTAGATCATTAGTATACATATATCTCTTTTTCTCTAAACAAAGTCTGACATTGTAGCTCAAGGTTATGGATCATTAGGTTTAATGACATCTGTTCTCATGTGCCCGGATGGAAAAACAATAGAGTCTGAAGCAGGTAATTTATATTCCATAGATTGTTAAGCAAAAAAAAGGAAGAACACGTGATGTAAATTTAAATTTTTCTATCAAAACTCATATTTAACTGTAACAAACTTTTAACTTAACTTAAACCAGCACATGGAACTGTTACAAGACATTTTAGACAACACCAACAAGGGAAACCAACAAGTACAAATCCAATTGCTTCAATATTTGCATGGACAAGAGGTATTTAACTTTTAGCATTGTAAACAAAAAATACAGAATACAATATTTATTAAATCTTAAAAGGTTTTGAGCATAGAGCAAAACTTGACAACAATCCGGATTTGGCTAGATTTGCCCAATCGCTTGAAAAAGCATGTGTTGATACCGTCGAATCAGGAAAAATGACAAAGGATTTAGCTGGATGCATTCATGGATTGTCGAACGTGAAAGAAGGAATGTATTTAAATACAGAAGATTTTCTTGAAGCTATTGCTGAACAACTTAACAGATCATGGAAAAAATAGAAAATTCATAGAAGAATTTGATTCTTGATAATAATTTTATTTTTTTGAAGAGACTTCTCTGACTATTAACCTTTGTTGGCGTTTCTACAAAAAAAAACACTTGCATTTAAATGAAAAATAAACATATTTTTAAAAAGTAGTAAAAAAATTTTGGAAAAGATCTTTGAGGGATGTATATAGATATAAAAAAGAATTTAATAATGATAAACGTTTACATTTTACAGGAAACAATTGAAAGTGCTATTACCTACTTACTTTAACCAGTTTCTTATGTGAAACATAGGTTACAACAAAAGGCTTTCCATCTGACTCTGTTGCTGGCTCTGTCACCTAGTTTTTTACAATTTGTCTGTTCGCACATTAAGCTGAGATTCTTTCATCACTGTTCTACGCCAGGTAGTTTTTGAAGCTCCAGAGCGTCTTTTCCCTTGCGGATTCCAACCAAGGGCGGTATAACAAAGTTGTGTCTCAGTAGTGACATTCTCTGTGGCATTTTTCTTACGAAGTGCAATCAAGCCGTATTTCCTCATCTGTATCTTTTTGACCTGCCTTCACCTGACTTCGTATTGCTGGTTGATTTCTAGCTTTGAAAAACTCTTCTCGCCTTCTGTATATATTTACATTCTTAAGTGCACCCCCATCTGCTAGAAACATACGTGAAGTGATCGAAATGATTGATGGTATCGTTGCCAATATGCAATGGCTTGTTTCGTTGCCAAAGGTTTTTTTTTGTTGATTTGTTTGATTTATTTGTATATAATTTTACAATTGAGATACAATTGACTAGCTTTATCATATTACATTTTATTAATTTCACAATAAGATTCGTAAAAATGCTCCTTTATTCTAGTTTTAAATATATTTAATGAGAATTTATGCTTAACCATTGGAGGTAGAGTAAGAGTAAGAGTTACAAAATTTTCTCGGGTACGCGTTCGATATCTATGAACATCATTGACTTGTCTAATCTGAATGTTATTCTTAACCATATTCGATGATATTTTAAAAACATGTAAGCAAAGATTGACGTTACAGAATGTCGACACTGGAAGGATATTTATGCTATATAATTCTTTTTTGCTACTGAACCACTCCTTAATAAAAAGGATCCTTAGTGCTTTTCTTTGTGTAATTTCGATCATGTTCATCGCGTTTGCAGGTGCTGCTGACCATATGATATTCATATAAATTTATTATTATTTATTTGTCGACGTTACCGTCCGGAAGAATTAGTATTTATACATTTTTTACCTTTTACATTGATTAGTGATAAATTTCATATCACTATGGGTGACGTAGAATCAAGCTTCTAATCTTCAAATCTAGGTTTCGATTAAATTCAGGCTCTCGTTTCGATCTTCTGTGGGCGTGACGTGGTACATTTCAGGTCCGTTCTGACAATATTCCATTATAAGGTAATCTTGTAGCTCTCGTTCCTATTTCTCCCGCTACACTTCAAGTTCCTGATCCGTTCCTTAATCCAACGTTTCCCAAATGCCCAATTATGGCTTGATCTCGTACATTAAGCAGTTGAAGTATCTAAACTTCTGAAAAAGAACAAATTTGGAAATGGCTGGATTCGAACCGACGACCTTCAAGTTACCATACCAAATTTGAGCCAAGCGCCTTACCTATTCGACCAGCAAGGCACTTAACTGCTTAAATTAGTCTTTATTGAATAAAAGCAAAGTAGAGCATTAGTGCTGTTTTTTGTGAAATTGATTTTCTTACTCTTTTGACTGCATATGCAAAAGGTATGACCTTTTTTTGGATTTCTTCAGTATGCTTAATAAAACTTAGTGACTCATCTAGAATTAAACCAAATAATCTGCAACTGTTGATTTGTTCTCTTTAGTAACAAGATTGATTCTTTTGATGCTGTTACTCTTAGTTATTTTGTTGGTCCATGCATTCATGCCTTGAATAAGCTTTTCTTTTGAGATTGTAGGTGCCAAATTCATCATCATGATCTGATTTTCTAGTGCTAATTGCTCAGTGATATTTCGTCTGATTTCGAGTTCCTTGATTCTTTTCTTGCTGATTTCCTGACTAAAATCAATTCTTTTTATTTCTTCCTTTGTCTGATTGAAGTTATTTCTCAATTGTAGTACATCATCATCGATCTTTTGCATTTGTAATTGTAATTTAGCTCCCATCATGTCAATTTTGTTTTTGGTGGTATGTATAATTTGTTCGATTTGTGTGCGGAAATCTCCAAGGATATTTTTCATTTCTCAGGTCTGTTGTTTCTGGCGTTCACTGGAATGACAAATGTAGTCTACATTTGTATACAAAATTTTTGTTAATAAAGTCATTTATCAAAATTTTCAATAGCAAAAAAGTATTCTGGTTCGAAACAAAGGCGATATAACGCCATATGCAGCCAAAAATATCAAACATTTTTAACGAAAATAAGATAAGATGAGAATATTAGACATTAGTCTCCTCATATTAGAGGAACTTTAACGTTTGCTTCAGTTTTATAGAGGTAACACCGAGGTTTAGTTTTTTTTATAGCGCTTTAAGTCATATCATAACATTGCTATGCCTTGATTTAAGTTTGTTTCTATAAAGTTTACTTTGCTTTTAGTAAGGACATTTTTCATCAGAAATTTTCAGTGAATTTTCCTGAAATGATATATATTTTTGTATTAACTAGGCATTCACGATTTCCCGAACCAAAAAAATTATCGGGAACTGGACAAAAATTTAAACTCAAATATCAAACATGCTTCTGGAAATTTGGAAGATTTTTTTGTGTTTAAATGATGAAACTTTTCAATTGAGATAATTTGACATTAAAATTTTTTGGATAACTATTGTTATTCATCGGGTTTCTATCCCAAAAATTTCGGGAACAGGAAATCGTGAAAGTCTAGTATCAACTATAAGAACTAAAAAAATAAGAATAATTTTGACAAAGAAAGAAGAAAAAATATACAGTTTTATATTGTCTTAGAGATGCTGTTGTTGAAAATATGTATTTGCTATAAAATATGCTATAAAAACCATTTGATAAGTTTGTTAAATTTGATTCCTTCTTAATCGCCTTCTTGTCAGAGGTAAAAAAATTCAAATAGTCAAAGTAATGTTTGAATACACTTAAAACCTTATACTTTGATCAAAAAATTTGTATAAAACGTAATGCAGTTTGCTATAAAAAGTGATAAATCTTGTGAAAATGAAACCAATCTATTTAATTTTGATTCCTTATTGACATTTAATATTATTTTACATAATCAACTTCGTACCTGTACGGTTTTATGTATGAGAATTGTATGAAATCAATTCTTGATTTGCATCAGTCTAGCTTTACAAAAGAATTTTGAACTTTTTACCATTTTTATAGCCATTACATAATCAGAAATTCGCTCTTTTAATGGAAAACTGAAATTTGTGCTAGTTTTTCATAAAATATCCATGCTAATTTTCAATAATAATGTTAATTTATCAATATTTGTCAAAAAAAGTATTAAATTTGGTTTTACAAATTGTTGAAAATTCAAAAAATATTTAATTTCTTTTAAAATTTGGTTCTTGAATAATTAAATTTCAGTATTGTAAGTATTGTACAATACTTACAATACTTACAATACTTATATGGCAAGTATTGTAAGTATTGTAGGTATTGTACAATACTACAATACTTGTATGGAAAGTATTGTACAATACCGTACAATACTTTGGAGTGTCTGACCCTTGCAATTCACCTTGTCTGGTTTCTGTGAGGGAAACAAAAGACTTCTACTGTGCACTTTTATGCAGAACCGTGCATCTAAATCCATTGTACGCTTCATTAATTAACCTGATAAGCTTTTTTTGGACACCAAAGTTCCATCCAGATACACTCTCGATTGATAGAGTTAAATACTTTCTCGTAGTCAACGAAAACTAGATAAAGTGATAATTTCCATTCATCGATTGCTCAACAGTGGTTCTCAAAGTGCTAATTTGATCAATGTACGATCGGTATGGTCGGAAACTTACTTTTTCCTTCCTTAATTTAGTTTCAATTGACATGAACAAAAAGTGCTATCTGCAATCAAAATTAAATTAATTCATTTTAAAAGTAGTGATTAATACAAAAAAAAATTAAAATTTTAAACAAAACGTTTTTATTTATTAAAAAGTAAAATTGTTGGAATAAATTTTTGGAAGCTTCATTCAGTCTTTTAGTTAAAATATCACAAATATTATCACAGGTTGAAAAGTTTTCGTCTGAAAAGAGAAAAATATAACAAATAATATTTTTTACTGATAATATATGTCATTTCTTTTCTTTTTTCATATCATTCTCGGAACTAGAGAAATATTTTAATATAATATATTGAACTTCAGATTACTTCCCGAGTGTAAGTATCAAAATAATATTTGTGGACTTTTCTTAATACGCAGTTCATTTCAAATTTATTGCAAGATTTCATGTAATTATATATTAGCGACTTACCGCAAATATCGTTAATGTTTCAAAGTCGTATTAGCATCATCTTCTTTTTCGAACATTTTAAATCATTTTCGCCATCAATATTTGTAAAAGGAATGCATTTCTATTAAACAATTTTGAAAACTCTTTACGCATAAATTCATCGCATTTGCTCTAACGCATGCATTTTGAGTCGCAAATTTATTTCAATCCAAAGACGATTGACTTTCATTCAGTCAAATAATCCAATTACATTTTCACGGTTTCTTTCACTTTATTTATGTTTTTATTTGCTTCGTTCGCAACAAATTGTCGCCAAGATTATTTTTATAAAACGCCAAATTTAATGAACTTGCTGGACCAAAACATGCTACACATTACAGTGTGGGATATAATTATAGACGAATTGGTTTTTTCGAAATTCTCGAAAATATAAAAATTCCATAAATTACGTTCTATGAAAAAGTTGTGCACTTTTATATAATCAATATTACAGCGAAATTTTAATAATTTTATTAACTAGAGAAGAAAAAAAACAATAATTTTTTAAAAACTTTGCGTTTTGCAGACGGAAATAATGAGTTCCTATGAAAATAAAGAATTTCAAAAAATCAAAACTTAATTTTTACCAACACATAATTTTTGGGCGATTCCACTGATAAAAAATGCCAGTGTGGAGTAAAATTTAACAAAGCGACATTTTAGTAGTTTTAGGGCTGTTTGAAGTGAAAATTAGTCGAAAATTCTGATTTTTTCGTGTCCTTTTTGAACTTATAGTTCTCAGCAATGATTGAAGTTATTGAAAAACGTTATTCAGTTCCTAATAGTATAATGTAGAAGCTTTATTTTGATGCATAATGAAATAGCATAGTTTCGGTTCCGATATGGTAGGATATGTATAAAAATCCTAGGAAAAATATCTTCAAACGTGCCGCAACTATCTTAGATGAAGAATTTCCGGGTAGTAAAACCGGAGTCAATTATCTTATTTCTTGTATGCAAAACTGTAAATACATTAGAATTTTACTGTAAAACTTTTGGGAAAAATTGATTTAATTTGAAATTTGTCGACTTTATAGAGACTACCAGTGTACAGTAATCACAAAATTTTATAGTGATTTGACCCTACTTTTTTTATACTAAATCAAAAATGGAGTAGTGGCACATCTGGTAGAAACTTTTCTTTACTTAAACATAGATATCATTATGTGCTTTTAGAAACCAAAAACCGTTTTTCATTTGATTGAGTAGTTTTTGAACACAATATCGTCTGTAATTTATTATTTATTCATTTGAACTAGAAATGGTTGTAGTTAAAAAGTCAAATCAAGATCTTTTAATTTTCTTTGTAAATGACATAGATCAGAAAACTGATTTATAAACAATGAAATTATTCAATGAAACCCATAATTAAAAGATTTCGCGAATCTTAAAAATACCAATTTGGTTATAATTATTTCCCCAACTGTATTAAAACAAAATGTTCATTACTTGTATCAATTGATAATATCATTATTTTTTTTCTCTCATCTTATTTCAATTTGTTAAGGTTCTTTTTAACGCCATTTTTAAAACTTGTTTTCTAATAGTGAGCTTAACAATGCACTTTGTTCGGCTGTTTGAGGGCGATAAAAACTTTCTAAACCAGACATCGTAGAAAGCTCGAGTTTGAAACAATGTAGGGTCGATTTGCAATAACTTTCTCGTTAAATACTGATCGCTGTGTCAAAAATTGACACCACAAAATTTCAGAAAAATAAAATTTTGCCTATTAATTAAAATTAAAAGACCTTGCAATGCAACCATTTTCATTTTCAACACTAATGACCCTTGCAATAAACGTTATATTTGAAATACAATTTTACCACGTTTTGTTTATATTTATTTGTTTCCCAAAAACAAATACGCAAGTTACTAATTTATACTTTGATCAGAGAAATACTAACTGGATTCCATTTCCATTTTTGACTCCAACGTAAAAATAAAAAATAGTATATATTTAACTAGAATATAATATAGCGATAAGGTAAAATTATAATAGTTTTTTATTTCCTTTTTTTGCTTTTCAACGATGTTATAACGAAAACTTTAAATGTATTTATGTTTTTTTTATGTTAAAATACTTTTTAATTGATATTAAGAATAAATAAAAACGCATTAATTTGTATTCGATCTTATTTCGATCAAATATTTTTTTATCATAAAAAAATTAACCAGCTTAAAATTGTTACAAAATGTTTATTGAAAGAAGGAAAAGTAAAATAGGCAAACAAATCAAATGTATCATAAATTAGTGACAGTTATTCAATTGTTTTCTACTCAATTATTGTGTTGATTTTGTAATCAATATGAACCGTTTTAAAATCGTCGATTTTGATTCATATAATCTCGACGTGGTGGACCTTGATTGCTATAAAAAAAATAATTAATTTAAATAAATAATCATGTTAGTACTTATATTAAATCCACAAAAATATTCGTTTGGTTTGGAGACCATTAATTATAGTTGTTTTTTTTTATAATTTAAGATACGCCAAAATCTTTCGCAAATTGAATAACATTCCGCATATAATCATTATTTATCTATCATATCGTAAATCAAATTCATCCTAATTACATCCTTAATTTACAAACGTTTTAAGTATAATCGAACCAAATTGGAAATACAACTTGCTAACAACTGTGTTAATAATTATTTATGAAAAGCAACGAGACCAAAACGATTGATTGGTATTGGATTTTACGGACTGTTTTTACTTGGATGATAATAGAATCATTTAAATAAAGAATACGAATTTTTCTTACCGATTCGCGCCAAAGTTTCCAAAATTTCCACTTTCAAAATTATTTGTATTGTTCTGATTTCTGTTGACACCAGTGCTTCCTTGTTGACCACTTCTACGTGTAAACATGTCGTTATTCTTCAGCATAAAAAAGTAAAGTTTGGAATGAAATTAATGAATAAATCTTTTAACAGAAACTTTTAAAAATTACCTGGAACTTATTTCCTACTCCACTGCTATTGCCCATATTCTGATTTCTACGCTCGAAACTCTGTCCAGTCATGAATGGAGGTGCACCTATATGTTTATTCTAAATTAATCAACTAAAATGTTTATAAAAATTTTAATCATCCATACCAGAGTTCCGGCGATTTCCCATGTTTCCCATACTGTTATTTTGTCGATCGTTTCCAAAATTATTCTGTGAAATATCATTTGAATATGACGGCAGTGCAAAACCCCGACGATCTTCGCTAAAATTAAAATTATTGTCGTCGTTAAATCCACTGCGATTACGATCCATCATGTTGTTGTTGCTCATTCCACGATCAAAGTTGTTCATCCCTTGACGATTGTCCATCTGCATGTTATTATCAAAACGTCCCATGTTATGATTACTATTATTGTTTCCACCCATAGGATTGTTGTCTCTTTGTTGGAAGCTTCTACCTGCTCCACCACCTCGTTGATTTTTGCTGTATGGAGTATTTCTACTTTGTTGTCGATCATTTTGTCTATTTTGGCGCATTGGACCTCCCATTTGCTGCTGATTCATACCTCCACTCATATTGTTTGCTAAACGTTTATAATTAGTACAGAAACAAACATTGATTAGATCATAATATTTACCTCTGAATGCACCATTTCCTCTTGAGTTACCTCCTCTTATGCCTTGAGGTCCATTATTTCTGTTATTTCCTCCCATCTGGCCACCCCTGTTCGATCCACTTCCTAAAGAACCTTGAGGTTTCATTCTTCCTCTTTCAACAACAATATTCACTCCGTTAAATAGAACATTATTAAGAGCTTTTATTGCAGCGTCTGCTTGCTCTGAAGTTGCCATGTGAACAAAACCGCAGCGATTTAAAATATCACATTCAGTCACAACTCCATACTTTTCGAAAAGCCGACGAAGCTCTTCTGGTTTTGAACCTTGAGGCAAACTTCCAACAAAAACCTTACGCTAAAGAGAAAATTAAACAATAGATTAACAAAAATGTAGATATAAAATAAAATTAAAGCCAAACAACGCCATTATGGTTGAAATATTTGTTTACGATTATATATATGAAAATAATGCTCTCAAATAAAGTTTTGTATTTAAAAGCGTATTTTATCTTATTAAGTCTTGATATACTTTATTTAATTGGTTTTTACTTTACCGGAATCATTTTTTTGCTTGAATATTTTTTTTTTCCTGAAAATGAAATATGAATTTTTAAACCAGTAAGAAATTCGTTAAAGTAACATGATTATAAAACGCATAATTCTCATTAAAATTTTTTGCCAAATTAAAATTTTAATTTGCAATTTCCAGTGCCTATGCAGCTCTATTATTCAAGAACTGAATAATTTACTGGGGGTCCTCGATTTGAGTAGTTGTTTTGTTCCAAAAAATTTCTACTCAAATCGAATCTATTCAAATCGAGGCAAAGAATCCATACAAAATCACATGTTTTGTTCCAGAGTCCAAAAAATGTATCAAAACAATGAAAATTTTGATAATTTTTTGCACATTTTACCTATTTTCTTAATTTTACCTATGTGTTTTAGATAACTTAATTTATTTCAACGCATATTCATATTGTTTTTAAACAGAAATTCACAAAAAATATGTTTTTGAAGCAAAACAAAAATATGAGAACCTTGCAAATGTTATTTAACCGAACAATTTGTAGGGTTTTTGAATTTGAACTTTTTAAAACCGTTAATTTTATATCGATTTTTTAAATTTTTACTTTAATTTTGTAACTTTAGTATTGATTTTTCGATCAATATGATAAGTTCACACTTATGGCAGAAAAATTTATGTTTAAAAATATTTTCTGAAATGTTTTTATCAAAAATATTTGTTTTGTAAACAATTCAAATCGAAGAAAACAGGAAGAAATCCACTCAAATCGAATATTTTGGTGGGTAAAAAATTTTCTGTTCAAATCGAATCTACTCAAATAGAATCTACTCAAATCGAGGACCCCCAGTATTTAATTTTTGTGACCATTTTCTTCATGTAAACAAACAAGAATTTCATAAAAAAAAATTCAAAATTCCTCAAAGGTTGCTGATAAAAACATTAATTTAACTAGTTTAAGGATCTTATAAATTTGTTTTTGGTAATCAACATAATACAGAATTAAAATTTCAATGAATTAGTGTAAGAATAATATGTTAAAAATCAGTTTTTTACAAAAAATACGAGCATTTTGCTCAAATTTCAGATTAGGCCATTCTCCAGGTAAGTTTTTCAAAAAATCACCCGGAGAATCAAAAATTTTCCATTACCAAGCATAACTTTTACATTTAAATCGATGTAAAATGGCAAAAACTATTATATTTTATCTATTTAAGTCTTTGAAAGTAGCCAATAATTAAGTTTTTTCAATTTTTTTTGCAAATTACTGTCAGCAAAAAATGAAATAATCATAAGGAGAATCGAAAATTGAAGAAAAGTAAACACTCATTTTTTATTATAAAAATAAACTTTAACTAAGCTTACACTTTTTAAAACGAGATAAGGATCTTCATTGACTATTAAACTTTTAGAAACAACATTCTAATCAAAGAAATTATTGTTAATTAAAGTTAAATTTTGCAAATCCATGAAAAAAATGCAAAGCAAATATTTCATAAAAATTGAATTTTATTCTTAATTTAACACTTCATGATTGAATTATTGTTGATTCAGTAAGAATCAATCGTAATAAACAGTTTAAAGTTGCTTTAAGCAATCAAAACAAAGAAATTGACAAGATATTTACAAAAAAAAAATTGAAAGTAAACAGTAAATGACTGTGGATTATAAAAGCTCTTTTTTCAAAAACTCAGCTCATCTTGAGAATTGCCCATTAATCAACCAAATTATCAGCATCAGTTATGGTAAAGTAAATGAAATATATGGGTATATCTATAGATGTCCACATTACATAACTACTATAATTGGCAAAAATTATTATTCATTTATTATTAAGTTTGTCACTGTTCAAATTAAAAGACAAGTAGACATTTCATGTCTTTTAATTTTTTTTTTTGAGTAAAACAAGCACATGTGCTAAAACCGATTGAAAATAACTCAAAAATGTTGATCCTAAACCTTTAGCGTACATAAACGTTATTTTTTTTATTACAAAATTGCAAACTTGTTTTATTTTCGCTACACAATCTTCTATTGATTTTTAAGTTAACAATAAATGCTTCTTGAAATTAACGTAGAAATTTTTTTAAATGTTTTAATGGCAGTGACTTTTTAAATAAATATAAATGACTTGAAATTGTGTGAGCATTTTCTTAAAATTTAACGAAAACAAAATATACAAATTTTTTTCATTTACAAAAAAAAGTAAAAAAGAATCTATTATATTATATATTATAAAAGAACTTTTCTTCGATAGTTAACTTTTATTATTAGAAGACTTGATTATAATAAAAAAAAAATTGGCGTTGATTTCTTTTAGATTGTTAAGAGTAAAAGAAATGAGAAATTGATTGAGTAAGGAAGATTATTAGGAAAAGCATGGAAAAGGGTAGAGAAAATAAAGATTTTCTTAAAGAAGATGGATATTTATCGGTGGATTCTTGTAAAAGAGTCCACAAAATTATATTCCATCCGAATTTAAACGTGATGTTAATTATAACAAATCAATCGATTGTAATTTTGGACATAAATTCTGGAGTAATTTTGCAACAAATACATAATGGTAATTCTTCGCAATTCAGAAATAAAATTTAAAAGTTTTTTACCACTTTAAATGCATTTATTTCATAGAATCCAACAAAGTAGTAAATGGAAGATACCTAATTGAACATGATAAAATTTTATTTTGGAATGATACGAATATGGGTATGCGAAGTGTATATCCAACGAGTGTATTGCTATTAGAAACTATTCTTCAGACTCCAATATGTAGTCCGGATAATGTTGTCAAAGTTGAGATCTTACTATCAGAAGCCGTTCTCTTATACAACAGTTTACTATCTCTGGAGCAACAAGGAGTTGAAAATTCAGCCGATATTGTGAATGAGCTGGTTCAAAAGTAAGTAATTATCATTTATTTGAATAGAAAACTGATGTTAATTTTTTGATTTCTCGTTTAACTAGAATCAGTGAAGCGCAGAAAAAAGGGAAAAAAGGAATAAAGGCTCAAAAGGTGAAAATAAATAATTATTAGCAAAATAAAATTTTAATTTTTTCATTCATTTCTTAAAAACGATTTTAGTGGGACACAATATGCTTGGAACTTCCACACTCAAGCTTGAAAGTAGTTGCTAGTACGATAGTTATGGAACTGAAGAGTCTTCAAAGGCACATACCTGCTCTAAGCATCGCATCATCTATCAATGAACGATTAACTGACCTCATTATTGGAGGCAGAGCAGTTGAAAATGATCAAATTCAACGATTTCATATGTATTCAGAAGCTGCACGTCGTAAAACATTCGATTCTTGGCCTCATATGGACTACAAATTTGCTCTTCCAGATCAAATGGCTCAAGCCGGATTTTATCATCAATCTAGTGAAACCGGGGATGACCGAGCAATGTGTTTCACATGTTCTGTGTGCTTGGTGTGCTGGGAAAAAACAGACGAACCATGGTCAGAACATGAGCGACACTCCCCCGATTGTGTTTTTCTAAAAGGTAAATATTTTTTTTATCCAAAGCATTGAATTTTTCTATTAAATTAAAATATGTATTAGGGCTCGTTCACTTATTACGTAACGCAAAAAAACGAGTTTTTAGACCCCCCCTCCCCCCCCTGTAACAAAGCGTAACAAAATCTTAGAACCCCCCCTCCCCCCCCATAACGTAACAATAATTTTTTTCATTTAAATTGTTTATCAAATGTTTATTATACTTCCTTTAAAATTTTAATTTAATATAGAAAAAATTATAAAAAAATATATTTTTTGAAAAGTTACGTAACAAAATTTAGACCCCCCCCCTCCCCCTGTAACAAACCGTAACAAAATCTTAGACCCCCCCCTCCCCCCCTAGTGCGTTACGTAATAAGTGAACGAACCCTTATTTAATTTTCTTTTTTTTTAAATCATTTAAAAGAGTCTAGATTTTGAATTAACAAATTAATTTTCTATTTTTTTTTAATCTTAACAAAGGCGAGTACACACAAAATGTTCCATTATCAGTTACTTTTGCAACTAGTCCAGCAGTTGAAATATCAGGGTATGATATTATGTCCTTTGGCGATTGTGATATTATATGTTTGGGAAACTCAGTAACTGGTGATGTCTGTGTTTGGAGTGTCGAACGACAGCTAGAAAAATGTGCAGATTTTAATATAAAGTCATGTGAAAATAATATCATGAAGCGTAATAATGAAGAGAGTGAAATACATATTGATTTATTTGCTATGTGCACTTTTAAGAAGGAAACTATTACAAAGATAAAGGAATTGAATTTAGACAAATCCAAATCGAAACGGATTAGTGGGACACGGATCATTGTCGGAGTAAAATGTAACGAAATAGAAAAACATAAAAAAAAGGCTTTTGAATTAACAACCGGAAAGAAGTCAAATTTTTATTTAGTTTCATATGCGGTAGCAGAAGCTTTTTCTTCATCGACAAATAAATTTTCAACTTTAAATGGAAACGATAGTGAATCATTAAGTTCCCACGCAAATGGAAAAAGTGGATCATCGTCTCTAATTACGATTCACGAGTCTACATATGAAGAGAGGCTTGAAGGATTTGATGACATTTTAAAATTTGTCGATAATAAAGATAACGCTAACGTTAAGAAAGCTGATTCGCAAATGACTGGAGTATTGAAAAATGATCATGCTTGGACTTTTATTCCTAAAAATGAATCATCTGAGATAGATTCGGTCAAATCTTTAGCAGTGAATGGTCCATCAATTGCTTCAAAACAAAATACAACACAAGCAACAGAATTCTTAGCAAAGAATAATACTGAAAGTGAATTCGTTTGTTTTCCTATGCAAGCCATTGAAATAGTTGACATGAATGATAGTTATGAAATCAAAGAAATTTTAACTTCGAGTGATAATCATTACATGATTGTTTTCTTAAAATCCTGCTTACCTGTAAATGAAAATGAATGTATGGAAACTGATGTTATAAAAAATGGAACTATACAGTCTCAAGTACTTGTCTATGAAATAGATGACAAAGGACTTATTATGGAACAAATTGTTTCTAAACGAATCTTTGCTAATGATCAAGTACCAGTAGAATTTTGCATATTACCAAAATTCGATACTAATGAGCGCTTCTTTAGTGGATGCCCAACTGATTCAAATGCATTTGTAATAACATGCTCAGACGGTTCGATAAAAGTCTTGTCGATTGAAACATTAAATACTTTATCTGAAGCAAAGGTTCAAGGAGAAAATTTTATTTCTTGTGTTTACTGTAAAAATTTAGAACGCTTATGTGCTTCAACAGCAAATGGAACTTTACACTTTTACTCTTTTTATGATCTCGATAACGATTCAAGTGACGAAATCGAGGATGAAATTATAAATTCGGTTGAATCTATTGAAAATAAATATAAAAGAGTTTTGCCATCGACTTCCAAAGCGTTTTCAAGAATTGAATGTGAAAAAAATTCAAAAACTGAAATAATTGCTAATCGGAAAAGTTTAAACTTGAATGATTTGAAAAATCTCTATTCATTGACGCAATTCGACGAAAATCTCACTTCATACTCCGCTGAAGTTCCAGGATGTTGGACAGAAATATTTCAAGCAAAAAGACGTCATCCTCAGAATTTAAGTCCTGGTGAAGACACACATTTAACGAGAACATGGAGATTGCATAATGATGCAACAACATGGGATGAACATTTAATTGAATTGAGTCTACCGAAACCCCCATCAATCGGACATATTGATTTCAAATTTTCAATTCTACAACCCTGTAGTAATCCACCTGCCATACAAGTAACCTTACTGAAACAAAAATCTATTGGATTATGCTGCCGTAGAAAGCCGGGATCAAATAAACAAAGCTTCGCTGAACCATCGAAAGAAGATGTTGACAACAATATAAATTTCAATTTGAACTCTGGAACGTCACAAACAAATACTTTCTATGACAATACAACAATTGAGAATCCAGTTTTATCTGAGGAATATTTACAAGCCAGAAATGCTGAAATTCTTGTGGGGCCGATCGAATTGTCTTCATGTATGGATCTAAATGAACAAGGGGGTACGGTTACGTTTATCAGCCCGAAACTGCTTAAGTCCAAAGCAAGGAATTATTTGATTCATTTAAAAACAATGACTGATGTGTCTAAGGATAGTCAATCTAAAACCAGAGGTTAGTACAAAATTAAAAAATCATTAATAATTAAAATAACATTATATTACTATAGGAAAACAATCATAAACATAGTTGTTTTTACAATGATTTTAACTTTTTGATTTGAGTATTAAGTTTTCATATACTTTTTTAGGATGCGATTGGCTTCATGAAATATCCATAACGATAAGAGCAACACGTGAAGTTTCAAGTATAAACAACGAACGATTACAACGCCTCGCAATGTTGGAGTCAAATATTCTGATGAAAAATCTTATTGGCATAGTTATTAGTAACAGTAGTTCACTAATGCAAAATATTTCGATAGACATATTATATTGGATTCAGTGCATAAATTTAGCACGTTTTCGAATTCCTAAATCATTACCCGAAATTAATTCACATCAAAGATTTTGTGTCGAAATAATTCAGGAAAATTTAAATGAGATAATACAAAATTGCATCCTCATAAATAATCGTAGTATGGCAAAGAAGACAGTTAAGCTTATAGTTACCACTCTAAATGGTGCAAGAAATATGACTGATCAAATATCTTGTTCAAATTATGAAACTTCATTAAAAATGTCGATATTATCACAAATTCCCAATATCATCAAAATTAAACATGCTGGATCTCTAAGATGGTTTGCATTATTAATTGCTGACACAACAACAAACGAATCACAGGGGGCTATTTCTGTTGAATTGATGAAGCTCCTAGTTGATATTTTGAATGAAGTATCAAAAAGAGCAAACACTTTAAATTCATTATTACAATCACGATTCGGATTATATGGAATGCCTTTTGAATCTGATTTGTTTGATACGGAAATACCGTCTTTTGGAAGGAACACTAACAACAATAATTCATACTGCAACGTTTTTTTGCATAAACCTGGTGTTAATGGGCAGCAACCACAACCAATACAAAATCAATTTAGTGATTTAAAGAACTTTTGTGCCACTGGTATGTTCGCTAATCAAAACCCTATATTGTCGTCGGACTTTATAAGTAATGTTTTTTTTTTTTTATTTTTACCACTTTTTAAATAGACAATTCAGAAATAAGAATTCCCTTTCACTTACGAAAAAAAAGTATAAACAATCACATTAAGGGCTTATTGGAAGTAGAACCGTTGCATTTTATATGCTCATCGACATCTGAAGCAACAAGAATTGAAAATATGGATTCAATATCCTTACAAGCTACAAGTACAATTGATGATATTTTAATTGAAACACCGCCTCAGATTGGAACATCGAAATTAGCTGGGAATGATCATATTATTAAAATGCCCAATGAAAAGATTTCGTTTAATAATGAAACTGAGCTGGAAAAAAAAATTGAGTCACCATATGCTCTCGCTAAAAATGTGGTAGATAAGATTTTTTATTCACAAATAAAGAAAAATAAATACAAGGAGCCATATATAAAAACAGGAACAAGTAATACACCAATATTTACTGGAGATGAAGAGTTTATGATGATGCAACAGCAGGAATCTAATGAAAAATCAATTATTGAATCAAATAATCAAAATTCATCTACAGTCTATAATGATAGAGTACGTGAATTTATTGATAGTACGAAACTAGATGATAGCTTGAATTTTCTACCATGGCATAAATTACTAAGTTTGCCTACAAAACAAATGATTGTAATTGACAGAATGCATTCAGGAGCTAGAAGACAAGTAACACTAGATTTTGGAAATCCTGTTGTGTTAACAGATATTGTCATTCCGGCTTGTAATGATTTGGCCTCGCTTACGATTGACGTTTGGTGTTTTGACGAAGAAAGTGATTGTGTTCGCCTTGCATTGTGTAATGATATTTCCATAAAAATGCTGATTTTGAATGATTTACAACCGCCACCAATATGTCGTTACTTGAGAATGACCTTCATGGGTCGATATGGTATGTCAGCTACAAGATGTAAATTACCAATGGGTTCCTTTTTCGGACACAACGTTATACTTGATAGAGATAGTTATGCTGATCCTGTAATGAAAGTTGTTTCAACTAAGAAAACTTATTTGCGAAACCAACTAAAAGTATTAAACGCTTTTTATGAAGACACACACTGTCGATATTGTTTGGCGAGTAGTAAATTATCTGATCTTCTGAGACCATTACTCAAGACTGAAAATTCAAATATGTCTCATATGAAGTCTTATTTGAATCGTTTAAAGGATAATGATGAAAATAATCAAGAATTTATCAAAATTTTTACTGTTTATGAAGAATGTATGATGTTTCAAAACCAATTAAATGTTGTAAAAAACGTCATCAAACGCATTGAAATCACATTACACGAGGATCGACAAAAACTTTTGGAAGACTTGTCGTTAAGTCATTTATCAACTGATAAGCTTCACGTGTTAAGCGAATGTTTGATTGAATTATTACTACATTTTGTATCCACATATGATACTCAAAGTATCTCTATATTGCACAGCTTTTTTGATCTAGAAACATGTAATTTATTGTTTAGAACATTAGTAATTTATGGAGATTCTCATGTTCGCATCGCCACTTGTTCCATGATCGTAAAGATGTGTTCTTACTCAATAAAACCTTGGTGGGGTAATTTTTTTGCCGATATATTTACATCAATTTTCTCATCGCAAAACACCGAAATCTTTCCGCAAGATAGGTACGTTATTTATCATAAATCATCTTTCATCTGCATAAAAATCATGGATCATGGTTACAAAACATGCTAATTTATATTATTAAAACCTCAATATATTTTTTTTTTCGTTTTAGGGTTTTTATACTTTTAACATATTTGGGAAGAAAAAGTATACAATTGAACACGTGCAGAACGATAGTGTTGGACTCGATTTTAAAAACTGTTGCAAACCTCTTGGCTCCATTATCTAACGAATATGAAAATCATCTTCAAATATGGAAAAATACGGACCTGACACTTTTGAGTTGGTTACTTCTATTCTTGTCTGTGTGTTTAGATGATAACAACGATAAGAAAGACAATTTGAACCCTCGATGGGACTTCATGTCTGGTGATATCGCAAAAGCTCGACTTTGTATGACAAGTAGCAATCCAAGATCTTTCTCACGTTCATTTAAAAAACGTTTTACACAAAATAAGCAAACTAGCTCAAATCAAAACAATATCGCTGAAAAAGTTTATATGATGTCAGAGCAAATTGCAAATACACCAAGCATGTTATCTTCATCTACATCAAATTTAGACTCGGTTATTAACAAAGCTCAAGATTTAAAGAACCATTTAAAAAAACTTCTTCCGAATGACAATGAGTATATTTTTCCAAAAAGTTTTCTAAAAAAATCTGTAGCAGAAATTAGTTCTAAAACATCAAGTTCTCTAAATAATAACGGAACCAATAAAGCTGAAGATCAGACGAATGAAAATGTTATTGATAAAGGACTAAAATCAATTAAAGGACAAAATGTTTTGGTTGTAATTAGAGGGCTAATAGGATTACTTCTTAACATGGATTTTACGTGTAATATGGATCTGTTTTTATTAACGTGCAAAATAATTGCAAAACTCGTTAATGCATGCAAAATATCAGTTCAACTTAGTTCAATAATAACAGTTCAACAGTTACTTCAACTTGTCAGGTTAGCTGTATGGGAAAATCAACAAAATTCTTGGGCAGTTCATGCAATAACTTGTTTACTTCAAGATATTTTAGAAGCAGATCGTAGTTATAAGTCTCTTCTTATGGAAAACACTGATCCTGATGCTATGGAAGTTGACATGAACAACGGAAACGAAATATCATTAGCACAAGCATTAGGTTTTATGTCAGAATTTCCATCGTCTACATCTAGTCAGTCATCATCAATATTTAAAGATTTCTGTAACTATGAAGTTTTCAAAACAGACACAAAATATCAACTTCCTTCACTTATAGAAGATGATACAGATGGCATTGAGGATATACTTGATGACATTTTAGAACAGTCGAAAAAGCTTACTTCTACCGGAGTCACAAAAACTAGTTTTGTTAAAAAGGATTTAGCTCCTTCATCAAACTCACAATCAAGAAGCACTTATACGTTACTTAACAGATGCAAAGTTTCTTCCACTATGGACTCAAGATTAGAATGTGGATTGGATACAAATACAGAAATCAATTTCAGGCGATTAATAATGAAATCATCTGTGAATGTTATTACAAATATTCCACAACAAGAGACTTTCGATTCAGTTCATATTGAAACACCACCATGGCCAGCATCAACTTTATCCGCTTGGAATAATGCTGAATATCAGCAAAAGATTGATACAAATATCATGTTAATGGATGTTTTTGAAACTATTTTTACTGATTTGCACCTTGAAGATTCGTGGCTTAACTTAGAACAGGTTTTGCAATTATGGCTAACATTGAATGGAGACAGTAATGACCTTCCAAAAATCATTTTCAATAATCTTCAATCAAAAATACCTTTTGGCGAGAAAGCTGTAAATGGGCTTTTAAAGGCGTTAGCAACTCGACCAGCATTAAAAATTCGCGGTTGGTGCTTAGGATTTCTCTGTTTAATATATTCAATGTCCAGCAAGTCAACGGATGATTTTAGTCAAATTAGTGGAACAGCTGAAGCAGCAGGATATAACAAAAAAATAGGCCAATTGATAATTAATAATGAAAATTTTGAAAAAATGCTCCTACGTTTTTGCAATGGAATCTACAAGAATAACTCCATACATTCTACATTCGCAGGTCCTACAGTTTGTCGCTTACTTCAGGAGTTATTTACATGTCTTCAAGTGAAATGTCAATTGCGGGATGAGTTAAAAGAAACATTATTACGAGTATGCTACTCTTTGGTTCAAGTTGATGGAGCTATCAGTAAATCATGTGGTCCGATCGATGCACAAAATCAGATAATTAAAGAGCTTTTAAATTACCAATACCAGAAGACAGATTTGAGCATTGCTATGAGCATAATTGAATGCGTTTCAAATCTCATTTATCATTTTATTACAAACATTGAAAAAATTCAGTGTCAAAAGAGCTCTGATGGGAACTCTAGTTCAAATAATGTTTTTGGAAGTCTTTTTGCGACAGTTTTAGGTGCTGAAAATACGCAAACAAAAACTGTTACTGATTCAACAATTTTAATGAATTTAATAAAATTATCATCAATATTCATCAGAACTAAACTTCCACTACCAACGGCACATAATGACGTTGAAACAACTTCAGTTGATTTTGTTGAGAACGATGAAAGTCAAACAGATGAAATTAAAGCCGAACAACAAAATCAAACAAATGCACAGGCAGTTAAAAGGAATTGGCCAACATTTACGGACACTGTCTTACAACATTCTCCAACAATGAATAGATTTCTTAGTGCACTCTCACATTGTAATACGTCTTCGACCGCATTACTTGTAATATGCTCTATTTATTCTCCAATATATAATGAATCAAAAAATGCATCATTAAGTGATCCAATGAATGTTGAGGATGCATTGTTTCAACTGATAATCTACATGAATAAGTTGGCATCTCAACCTTCTTTCATGTTAAAACCATTATTTGACTATATTAAATTTGTGTCAAATGTTCGTCATGCGATGCCGAAAATATACTTATCTGAGCCATTTCTCTGGTTGATGCTGAAAATTCTTGAAACCAATGTGGCCCTTAAAGTGTTTTGTGAAATGGGTGGAATAAAAATATTGGCAGAAAATTTAGTGAGAAGCAATCGTACACTTTTAAATACTCATCCAAATTTGGTTACAATGATTATGCAGCATTTATCAAAGGCACAAAACCACGTCCAAACAATATCAAATCAAACAAATAAAAAATCAATTGGATCATTAAAGTATGATGAAGGATTAATAAATTTTGCACCATACTGTACAATAACTTCTGAAAACCCTTCAGCTCAGCCTGCGGATGTTTTGATCCAAGGACAAGTATCGTCGCATCGAAGAGCAAGAGCTGCTGCATGGAGCTATTTATTTTATCCAAATGAGTCACATGTAGACCTAATATTAACACTACCAATTGCTGTTCTCTTAAAAGAAATACAACTTCAACCTCATTTGTCAACTCTTGCATCATGTCCTTCCGCTGTATCAATTGAAATCTCACGAGATGGGATGAATCTAATTCCATTGACTCAACCGATTGTCACATCGGGTATGACCTGTATTCGTCTAAAATTTCCTCAAGCAGAGATTGCTACGCATCTTGTAATACGACTTTATCGTCCAAAAGACAGCTCAACAATTGGACTGTCAATGATTTCCGTTTTGGGTACATCAATATTCAATGACAAAACATCTATATCAAATTTATCATCAAATAATAATGATGGGAATAGTGACGAAGAGGCACAATCTGAAATTAGTTTTGGATGGTTAAGAATTCTTGCACAGTGTTTCAATGTTGTAACATACACTGATAATTCAATCTCAAATTTAGTCATTGCATCTGCATCAGAAGTCAATGGATTTATGGAATCTTGTTGTTCTCTTCTAAGCATTGCTCCATCAATGTCTAATTTTTTACTTCAAAACTTGGAAACTGTTCTCTTAAAATTAGGATTGCACAGCCAAGAATTAAGCTTAAAGTTAATTAATATTCTGTTAAATGAAAGTATTCCACATATATTCAAGTTATGTAATGAGACAGTCTCCGATATCCTTTATCAACTATGTACAACATCAGATTGCTTTTCACGAGATCGAATGCGAATGATTATTGATTGGCTAATGAACTTGGAATTGAATAATCAATTAAAAAATATCAATCCAAATAGCGGCTACATAAAATGTATTGCATCGATTTTATGGCAAGCTTATGCTACAAACTTAATATTAGATCTTGGAAATTTGATAAAATTAGAGCTATTTGAAAGGCTATATAGTTGGTCAGAACAGATTTCTGAAAAAAGTCCAATGAAACTTGCAATTGATTCTGCGTTATGCTCTGTTTGCTGTATTAGACCAGAGTTTTTTAATCTACTATTAAAGAAAGTAGGCATTCTGGTAGCAACAAATAATTTATCATGTCTTAGTGATGACAGAAAGGAAAATGAACGACTGATGACAGACGATAATAAGCAATTTAGTAATGAGACTGAAGAATGGTTTTCTAATTATACTATTCAAAATCTTTCAATGTTGAATTTATCTTCATCACAAATGAAAACTATTGCGATGGCTTGCCAGTCTCCCTTAACTATATATCAATTAATCGATTCTGGTCTTCCTAGTCTATTTACAACAGCTATTTTAGAATTCTGTCATCTTTCATCGAATCATGAATTGCAGTACTCATCAGCATGCCAAACTGATGCTGACAAAGCATTGAAAGGAAATTTTCCGATGGTAAACGTTAAGAAAATCACAGATATACTTAGTTTTATGAGTGAAATTTGCTGCGAAGATGGACACATGAGAGACTGGTTGGGATCATATGAAGGATCAATGTGGATAGAACCACTATTGTCTTTAATGTGTAATAATAAATTACAAAATTCAATAATCAATGATGACATTAACAATCAGACATTTTTGGAGTTGGAGGAAACAGTCATAAAGTTTTTGTCAAATTTCACCTCTTGTCATCCAAAGAATCAAGATATACTCACAACTAACTTGATATCAGTTATTCGTACAACCGAGAAAAACAATTACAATATTAGCCATCAAAGTCCTGGAAGTTCAACTCATCCATCAAGTTTGTTAAATACATTATCATATAATATGAAATATTCAATTTCTGGATTCACTAGACGTCTTGTTCTGCAAATTTTGCTTGAAAGCGAAAAAATGGTAGTGAGTGTCAGAAGCGATTTGCCTCTTCTAAGGAAATACGATGCAAACATGACATACATTAGTAATCACCCATCGAAAAAACCAAATTCTCATCATCTTTTGTTCTATGTTAGCATAAATACTAAATGCCAAGAAATTTTGCAGAATAGCATATCTGTGTATAACAATTTGCTTCCATCAATCAGTACCAATGAAGGAATATCAACAAAGTCTTTAGATTTTCCCATCGATAATCGTTCAGAGAAAAAAGATTTGTGGGATTTAGGTATGCAAATGAATTTTGGAATGGAATTTTTAAGCGTTGCTGCAGGTGTTCAAGCAAAAGACAAACGTTCTAAAGAACTAAAAAACCAAGAAAATGAACAGAAAACAAAAGATATTTTTAATGTTTTTAAAACGAAAACTGAAGAATCAAAAGGATTACCTCACAGTATTCAATTTTTTCATAACGCTTGTCCAGATATCGCAATCACTAGCGACACGACTGTAGCTCAAATTTTGACAATGCTCAAATCGAACGGCATCTCATTATCAACACCATGCATTAATTTAAATTTGATTCAATTAAAGAATAATTCAAATGATGATGATGCTGCATCTGAAATTTTGAAAGCTTCAGATTTTAATCCATTATCATCTCCTTTGCAAATATTCTCAAGTCGTGGGGGATTATCATTGTTGGCACATTATCTTCCAACTGTTTACCCAGAGCAACCTAAACATATCCAAAAATCTAGTGAAAAGGAAAAAAGTTTGCCTGGGGAATGGGTCAAAGGAGAATGGATTAAAATTGAACCAAACGAAGAAATTTATGAGGATGTCGATGACGGTATTGATAGTTCGTGTAAAATTGCAAATGTCATATCATCAGTACCTCAACATTCTCTAGCTGCATTCGGACTTTTTCTTAAACTACCTGCCTATTCTGAGGTGTTATTACGCGATAAAACTCGAGCACAGTGTCTTTTAAGATTGATTCTTGGAGTAACTGGTGATGGGGAAGGAAGTAAGTGTTTATTTATTTTTTAATTTACACTGTCAACTTAATTTTTTTTTAATTTAAATCTTAATTATTTAATTTTAGATGATATTTACAGTTTAACACTCAGTTCCTCTCTACCAACACTGCCATTTGAGATTTTGAAACAATTATTAGACAGTTCGCCGCTCTCAACAGATGATGGTGTTTTACTGAGACGAATGATTTGCGAAATTGGCGCAAGTCATCTTGTCTTAAATTGTCTGAGTATTTTTACTCATCATAGCTCCAATTTAGCAACAGGCCAAGAACTCATGAAAACATCTTCAACGAAATGTCAGACAGTGCTTAACGAAGATCAAACATCTGATGACAAAAGTCACGTTTATTGGGCAAAGGGCACAGGTTGACATATCAATATTTTTTTTTTAAATTAAATGTAATGATTTGAATTTTTTCAGGGTTTGGAACTGGATCTACTCAACAATCATGGAATGTTGAACAAGCGCTTCTGAAGCAAAAAAGTGAAGAAGATTTTGTAACGGTACTTTTACAGGTAATATATTTCTTATTTTTTTTAAGCGAGCTAAATTAATTTTAATATCATAGGTCCTTTCAAGTTACATCAATCCTGGCGATATAATTCCTAACGCTGATTCAAATAGCATTAATTATCGCGAGTCAGCTTTAAACACATGTGATCTTCCACCACTTTTTATAGATCTTGTTCAACAATCTTGTCTAATTCCTGCATTATGCTCATATTTAAGAAACGACTCAGGTACGCAAAAAATCTTGATTGGTTTTCATTAAATAAATTTTCTTTTTTTTCCTTCTTGACGCTCCAAAACAGTTCTTGACATAACAAGACACATTCCATTGTATCGAGCAATTTTACAACTCTTAAGAGCGCTGTCAATTTCGACACAATTGATTAATTTATTAACAACAAAACAGGAAAACGATTCAAAAACATCAATAGCAAGTCTACTTTTCAACATGAAATCCTGTGTTGACACCTATGCTAGTCGTTTGAAGTAAGAATTCCTCGTCCTCTAAAATTATTTCACACTTAAAACAATAGTAATATGTTTTTAAATCGTTTTCTACAGGATTAACAAGAAATCTAATTTGAAGGGGCAATCACAGAAAATATCCATTAATCTCGATGAGAGTGATGACGAAGGATTAGCATTATTAATTCCAGACATACAAGAGACCACTTCTTTAGTTCAATCTGCAACATATTCAGATAATAATAGTTTCGATAAAGAACAACAGCAATCGATGGCTATTGAAAATCAAATTAATAATACGAGTATGGAAGAAAAATATTTAGAAGTCATGAAAAAATTACAGTTTGGTAAGAATAATTTGCCTTTATATTACAAATGGAGAACGTTTAATAACTAAAATAATTTGATTAGATACATTTGAGATGATAGCAGAGTCAGAAAATGGATACAGATTTACAGTCTCTCATCATTTTGAATCAAATGTAAGGATGAGTAATGATCGAGGAAATCCTGGAAGAGTTAAACGCTTGGCTCAGGAAGCGACAACACTATCAACAAGTTTACCACTTTCATTTAGCAGTTCTGTTTTTGTTCGATGTGATACTGATCGATTAGATATAATGAAGGTACTTATAACAGGCCCATCTGAGACTCCATATGCAAATGGATGTTTTGAATTTGATGTATACTTCCCACATGATTATCCAAATTCACCAATGATGATTAATTTAGAGACGACGGGACGACATTCTGTAAGGTTTAACCCTAATTTATATAATGATGGGAAAGTTTGTCTTAGTATTTTAAACACTTGGCATGGAAGGCCTGAGGAAAAATGGAATGCTCAAACATCTAGCTTCTTGCAAGTTCTAGTTTCTATTCAGTCACTTATATTAGTAAGTGAGCCATATTTTAATGAGCCCGGTTTTGAAAGATCCCGTGGAACACAAAGTGGGAATCATTCGTCGCGAGAATATAACAGTAACATATATCAAGCTTGTGTAAAATGGGCTATGTTGGAGCAAATTCGAAATCCATCACCATGCTTTAAAGACGTCATTTTCACCCATTTTTGGTTTAAAAGAAACGAAATTTGTCAGCAAATTGAAAGTTGGATTGATGAATTGAGCCGCTCAACTCAAGTTAGCGAACGTTGTGGAAGAACAATTTCTTTTAATTCGATGGTTCTAAAACGGCAGTATCGACAACTGAGAGATGAATTTGCAAAACTATCAGTGCCGGAAAACTTAAAAAATTTCAAAAATCCATTTAATTTAAATGCATTATCAACTGGTTCTTTAGAAAATGATAAATTTGAAAATTTGGAAGAGTCCAAACAGTTACAAATAGAACAAAAAAATAATTCTGATATCGAATCATCTATCATACAAATAGATCAAATGAAGGATATTCAGGAGATGGTAACAGATGATTAATTTACTATATTCAATTTTAATTTTTTCCTGATAAAAACAAGAGCAAAATATTAAAAACGGGGCTCGTCGAATAAAATCCGAATAAAATTAATACAAGAAAATATTTGAATTTTTCCCTCTTTTTATCGCTAAATATTTGATGAATTATATTTTTAAAATTTTGATGTATTCTGAAGTTTAGAGTAACTTTAAGCTTTTTGAACTAGCAATCTTATTTGAAAAAGTAGTAAAAAAAAATTTCTTCAGTTTATCTTTAAAAGTGATTTTCGTGCAAAATTTTATGCTTTAAAATTTTCTTTGATATATTTAAGTTTTTATGTCGAGTTTCAGCGTCAGAGACCGTGCTTTAACTAAGATTTTTTTCTGTACCTAGAACGTTAACGATAACATTATCTATATCAAAATGAAGGTCTTGGAGAGCTCAATATGGGTAATTCCATGGAACAATTTTTCTATAAAATTGTCTCTAAATTGATTTTTTCTATTTCTCTGAGCTTTTTCTCTGAGATATGTAAAAATTCATAAGCTATGTTATTTAATAAAAATATCTCTTCTAAAATAGTTGAATAGTGAATTATTTCAATTTCTTCTGCTGTTACTTGTTAACGCTCAACAAAAAATTGTTCAATTCTACAAACTTTTACTTCTCATTCATTAGCTACTTTTATAATAGAAAATATATACAGGATGATAGGTTCTTGAACATTCAATCATATTTTGACTCAAGGTTAATTCAAGAGTATACGGCCTGTTTCACTAAAGTCGATTATCGTCGATTTCGGATTATCCACTTCAGTTTTTTGGAAATATCTTCAGACGCTTAAGGTTATTAAGAGATCGAATGTGTGATCTAGTTGGAGTACTTTGCCACTTAAATTAACATATTAACACGTGCTTCTTAAATTTCAAATAATTCCAACTGACTTTGATATCATATCATATTTCCTATAGATTCTTTTTTATTACAATTTGAATAAATCTAAAACTTAGGAAATTGACCTATGAGCAAGCATTTATCCAGAAATATTTTTTATGATTTTAAAACCAAAATTTGGAAATTTCTTTTTTGTAGTTTTCTTGTCGCTAAAATCTGCCAAAATTATCTCAAATTTATTTTGAAATTTTGATTTAAAATTATCAAAAATGAAGAAAAATGAACTATAAACATTTTTTTTTTACAATTTATTTAATACCGGTGTTGAAAACCCTATTACAAACATGCTGTTTCTGACACTGAATTCATTTTCGACGAGCCGTAATCAATTTCTTTTTAATTAAATATTTATGGTTTAAAAGGGATTAAATAAAGCTATGGAAGAATGATCCAAAAATTAAAAAAAAAAAACAATTCAATCGAAAAATTTTATTTATGTATTTTTTTTTTATTATTGAATTTACAAATTTTATATCATACTGAATTTATATCAACAAAATGGTATTTTAAAATCTTTTTTTTAAGTAGTAAGCTGTTTCGAACAACATCTTGCGGTAAATTACTTTAATTATTTTTTATAAGAGAAGAAATAAAAGACAAAGAATTAGTTATCAAATCTATCATTCAGTAAGTTATTTCTTCTTGCTATTCTTATCATTTTTGGCGCCTTTTGAATTTTGGCTTGCAACTTTCGCTTTTTTATTTTTCGGTTCTTCTTGATCCTCTTCTCCATCATCAAACTCTTCTTCATCGATTTCTTCCTCGATTTCATCAGTATCAATGTCACCGATTAAATGATGACCATGAATATGAACAGGACCTTTTATTAAAAAAAAGATATTTTATTTTTGTTGTGTACCTAACATCGTAAGCGGGAAAGTGAAAAGTTGAAAAGCATGCTGGACGAAAAAGGAAGTTTAGATCTTCTTTAAGTGTTGTACTTTAATTTCAGCTGTTTTCAATTTGATAATTATATGCAAAGGCTTTTTAATAAATACCACTAGATTTGCTCTCAAAAAATTACGAAATAAGCTAGATTTTTGCGACCTTTTACTTTCACTTTAAATTTTTTTTGTTCTCAAACATTGTACAGTAGCGAGTAAAAGTAATTGGCCACTCACATTTTCTGCTCTATCTTTTGATTGGAACCACGAAAAGTGATGAAATTTTCACCAATTATTCCATTTTTTATTACTAATACACTAATGTAAGCCTTAATTCATAATTCATTCATTTTTGTACAGTTTTTCCACAAGGGAGTTTTTTTGAGGGAGCAAAAGTAATTGGCCACTTTTTAGATTACAATTGTTCAAAGTTAATCATAGAATTGAATATTTATTTGAACGTATTCTGGTAAAAACTGTACTATTAGTGTATTAGTAATAAAAAATGGAATAATTGGTGAAAATTTCATCACTTTTCGTGATTCCAATCAAAAGATAGAGCAGAAAATGTGAGTGGCCAATTACTTTTACTCGCTACTGTATATTGGCAAACTTTTCAAAGTGATTGAAATGTTTTGCATACAAGCTTCGAACAGGACTTAAACTAAGGTTCTTTATTTGCTCGGTCACCGTGTGCACAACATTTCATGTGTGCTGATCGGTGAAATTTCTTGTTAAAATAGCTTAAGACATACCTTCTCCTTGAATCAATGTAAATTTGATTGGAGCATCAGGAAATTCTAGAAAACTTTGACTGCATCGATTCTCTCCGACTTTTAAAACAGCAATCGGAATTTTAACTATTGAATCCTCAGATTTTGTCTCTACCTAAGAGTTTTAATATTTAAAGGTTAATTACACTAGAATTTTTATAACTAAACGCAATAAGTTATTTACCTCAACAACGTTGTATTCATCTGATTTTGCTTCAACACCAAGTAATATCTGTTTTACAATTAACTTATTAGCTCTTGGATACTCTTCGGCACCACTTGTACTTTCGGGATTCCAGAGGACATGAGCTTTAGCTCCTTTTAATGTAACACCTATGAATAAAATAATAGATGCCAATGAATTTATTTACTTGACTAAAACCGCATGTAAATAATTGTTTTTATTTAAAAAATGAAATAGTGTATTAACTTTGTTTATTTTGATAGCTTCCGATTTCTTACCGTAAAAAAATTCATCTGCCATTGTAATTTGCTTGTTAGAAATATTAAATTTTAATAAATTAAACAATTTCCGGCAATCTTCTAAGATGCTGGTTAACTTTAGACTCTTACTTACTTTCACTCCCCTAAACAAATTTATTTTGAATAGTTTAGTCGTTATTTTTAACGCATTTTTCGCAGACATCTAGAATATCATTTTATTAGCATAGTTTTAACAAGTTTTCGAAAAAGAGTGAAATTCTACCTGTTGTTGTTGCTGATGTTCAATTGCAGCAATTTTGGTCTATTTGTAAGATATAAATATACAATTCCGATAGATACAATTTTTATAATGCATCTATTGTTCAGTCGTTGTAGCCGAAGAATCTGTTAAGGATAACTATATCTATATTTAAATGAAAGAATTGTGGAGTTCTATAATTCCTCATCTTTCAGGAAAATTGCAAAAAGTAAGGTCGCTGACTCTGAATTCACTTTCGACAAACCTCGCAATTTTTCCAAGATAAAAACATTAAATAAAACATTATTAAGATCATTAGATTTTTCATGTGTATGCCATACATTAGTGTTGTACATGCATCTAATATGTATTTTTTTATTTTATATTTGATCAGAACAATTTCATTTTTAATACATGTAACTTGAATGTCTTTAATATTTATGTATATATTGAATTTTGTTAGTACTTTTAATAGAATGTTTTATGTATTATTTATAAATATTTTTGCCATTGACTAGGTATTTTAAATATTACTTTACTATTTGCATACATTCAAATAAGTAGAATTTGTAATTGGATTTGAAATTTCACATATTTATAGCATACTATAAAATACGATATCAACATTTTTTTTATGTCTCAATTAGTTAAACCATCATTTTGGTTCTTTAGCAATAACATCAAGAAAAGCATCATAAATATATTTTAATGTTGATTCGCACGCACAGGTAGCGGTGGAGGTTTGTTACGTGCTGGAATTGGTGGCAAATGCTGATTCCTTTGGGGTATTGTTGGTGGTATATGAAATACTGGAGGTGGCTCCTTTGGAGGCTGATTAAAGGATAAAAAAAAAATCATTAGCTTATTACGTAACGCATTTTTAGATCTCTTCGTCACAAATTTTGTATAAAAAAAATTCCTTTATTTGAACTGTCACAAAATTCAGAGTTGCGAGACAGGTCGAAACATAGGTGACACATCTGACAAAGATACTCCTGTGAACAGGCAATTAAGGTTGGCAACACGTTCAAAATTAGAACTACAATAAATCTTTCTTTTATTTTATTCGATTAAGGAACGTTTGCACAAATTACTAACCAAGTTTGAACAATTTTTGTCCAACCTTGTCAAATTTAAGAGCAAAAGTGCTAAAAGTATAACATCGGTCCTAGCTCGACTTTCAAATGCTCATATCTCGGAACTGGCAACTTCACAAAATTTAAAAAGGTTATTTTTATGCTTTCACAAAATAGCACAAAATAATTATCAATTTATGATCAAAGGTTCGAATACAGATTTTTCTATATATATTTTTTTTTAATTTTTGTAACCTCTTTTACCTGAAATTATTTTATTTACAAATTCTTAGAATTCCAAAAAATTCAGTTCCAAATGTTTTCACGTACAAAATATTATTTTCCAAAAATTTATATTCCAAAAAATTCTGTTCCAAATATTTTCACTTCCAAAAAATTATTTTCCAAATAATTGTTTTCCAAAAAAATCCGTTCCAAATATTTTCACTTCCAAACAAGGCGTATACACTCGAAAAAAAAAGTTGGGATTTTTGGGGATTTTTCGGGATTTTTGGAATTTTTGTAGAAAACCTGGGATTTTTGGGATTTTTCTGGGATTTTTGGGAGTTTTAAAATTTTAAAAAAATTTAATTCCTTTTATGGAAGTATAAATCTTGAAAATTTGCTCTAAAATTTTTAAGAGAGTTATTTCATGGTACAAAAACTTATTCATCATCAATATAAATTAATAGTTTTTACATATTCTGTTGGTAAATCCTGTTCTGGTTCACTTGTGTAACAGAATAACTGCTAACGCTGTAAAACACATTTTTGTGTAGTTCCACAATTTTTTCATTATCAACATAATAAGCTGTCAACCTTTAGCTCTTAAACTGTCAATTGTTACAAAATCTCATAAAAATTTTTTATCCTTCTTTGCCTTTTTGTTAGAGATTTCATATTTAAAACTCTTTCTGTTCCCAATATTCCATTTTCATGTCCTATTTCCTAATATTTCACTACGACCTATTTCCTTTTCTTCCTAAATCATTTCCTTTTCTGATACTTGTCAAATTTATACATCTTTTTTCTATATATCGTCTGGTTGTATCGGTGTTTTTAGTAGTCATGATTTGTTTGCCTTGATAAGTTCCTATTAATTAAGAATTTGCTTTGGAATTATTCCTTCAAAAATTTATATTTGTTATTATTAAGCCATTTGGGAATTGATGAACATCTATATCAATTTCTTGATCAACGCCAATATTTGATGTCTTGAATGTAACATTCTTATCTTCTAAATAATCTTTCAAAAGAAATTCAGAATCAATATCATCTCGTATGTTGATTGCGTTTTGCGAATCTTTAGTAAGTAAACTCATATTAATACGTTCGATTACCATGTCTAATTCACGTACTTTGTTCTCCGTAAAACAAACTGCAAGCTTTAATGCATTAAATTTAATTTTTTTTTGTAATTCTGTGGCTGTTTGAATTTGAACAAGTGAAAATTTTGATTTTTTTTCATTAAAACTGAAAAATCTCTTCAATAGATAAAGATATCAAAAAAAAGATTTAAATTCTTCAAAAGTATCAAATAAGAGCTTTATGATGATGTATTATAAAGATACACTTATGCTAGCAAATGTATGAAAATCCAAGGAAAAATATCTTTAAACGTGCCGCAATCATCGTAAATGCCCGACTTCTATCCTAAAAACCATATATCACGGTGTAGCTCTTGACTTCTAAATCCAAAACTGTATTCAACTTTGGCTTAATCAGGTGCAAAATAAATTTATTGTGATTTTAGTGAGTCGTCGAATATTTTTGAAGTTTTCTAATGCCTAACGTTATTTAAAGATGAACTTTGAAGAAATTTTTTCAAAAAAGTCAAAATTGGTCGAGATATAGGGTACTTTTGATATCTGACGACTTGTATGTTTTTTTCTTCACTCAAACCACCAGTACTCTTACAAAAAAATAAATATTTTTTAATTCAGTTTTCATTTTATTATAGCTTAAATCAGTACCTTTCAAATGATGTATAAAATTTGATAGTTAAGTTTGATCTTAGTCATGAAAATAAGCCTGGTTTGTGACCGACCCAAAACGAAGAAAAATTTCAAAAACGTCATTTCTAGAAATATCACTTAGAAACAAAATTTAAGTATTGATTTGTAGTTTTTTATGATGATTTATGATAGTTATGACTATTTAAACTCAAAAATTTACATTTCATAAACTTTTTGCTATCTCAGGTAAAAGGTAGCTTTTAAGGTATGACCCTAGTAGACATTGATATTTCATATTAAAACACATCTGAGACAAAACACATTCGGCCTGTTTCACTAAAGTATATTATCCTCGATTTCGGATTATCTACTTCAGTTTTGTGGAAATTTCTCCAGACGCTCAAGGTTATTAAGAGATCTAATGTGTGATCTAGTTAGAGTACTTTTCTCCTTAAATCAACATGTACTTAGAATTTTTATATCTACATTAGTTTGAGAATTATAACAAAAATCGAAGTTAATCTACTCGATTTGGCTAGAAAATTGAATGATTAATACTTCTTACCGAAAATCAAAAGTTTAAAGTACATATACAGAAATGAATGTGAAACAGGCCGATTACTTTTATATGGTTACCCATCAAAAATTTTTCATTTTCGCTATTTTGTTTAATTTCAGCTTGCGCCGGTCACATTAAAAACTTTTCCATAAGAAGTATAAGTTTCATACAAATTTTATACACAATTTTAAAGGTACTGATTTAATCTAGCAATAACCGAAAACGGATTGCAAAATATTGATTCTGAATAAAGTTATAGATATTTGAGTGGATCAAAATGCATACAGAACTGCAACCAGCATAGATAAAAATACAAAAGTTGAAAATTTCATGCTTTTTTGGCAATTTTTTGTAATTAGGATAGTACTTTAAGATTTTTCAAATTCTTTTTTGTAAGATTTTAAGCTATCAAGGACACAAAACACTTATGTAAAATGGTAAACTGTATCGTTGTTTTGATATTTGTTTCTTCTACATGCTTTAATTAAGAAAATATTTGACTTTTTGTAAGCGTTGTACTTGTACAGAATGTTGAATTCTGAAATTTTATCCAAAAATTAACTTAATAATAATTAACAAATTAAAATTTTATCATTGTGCATGCTTAATTTACCTTAAAAGCACTTATTAAGTACCATTTAGTAGAAAAATGAGGAATTTTAATTCAATTTCTGTACAAGTGCAACGCAAAAACGTTTATTTTCCTAATCCACGAACAAACTATTTCAAATTTTCCTTTAATTAACAACTAGTTTTTTGATTAGAATGTTGTTTATGATATATTTCTGTTTTGATTTTCTGGGATTTTTGGGATTTTTGTAGGAAACTTGGGATTTTTTGTGATTAATCCCAAAAATCCCGAGTGTATACGCCTTGCTTCCAAATAAATATTTTCCAAATAATTGTTTTCCAAAAAAATCCGTTCCAAATAATTCCGTTCCAACAAAAAATGCTCACCCAAATTTGGTATGGTAACTCGAAGGTCGTCGGTTCGAATCCAGTCATTTCCAAATTTGTTCTTTTTCATAAGTTTAGATACTTCGACTGCTTAATGTACGAGATCAAGCCATAATTGGGCATTTTGGGCAACGTTGGATTAAGGAACGGATCAGGAACTTGAAGTGTAGCGGGAGAAATAGGAACGAGAGCTACAAGATTACCTTATAATGGAATATTGTCAGAACGGGACTGAAATGTATTACGTCACGCCAACAGAAGATTGAAACGAGAGCCTGAATTTAATCGAAACCTAGATTAGAAGCTTGATTCTACGTCACCAATAGTAACCTAGTAGCTACCGTCTTCCGGACGGTAACGTCGATAAATAAATAATAATAAATAATATTAAAGACGAACCCTAAAAATGTTGCGGATTTATTAACTTCAAGTGAAGAAAAAAATCCCACATACAAATGAAAGTGATTTCTTTACCAGCACGTGAAAATAATTATTTCATCTTAAATTTTAATTTCATCTAAGTGGAATTTTTGTCTTGCAGTGAAAATATTAAGACCACTTGAAAAAATAAAATTTTATAAGTGACCTTATTGTCCCTCCGTGATTTTACATTTTTCGGGTTTTCTATCTTCTAGTGTTGTGGACTTATTACTTTTCGGTGCAATTGACTACCATCATAATACTTAAAGGAGTAATTATCTGAAGGTTTAAGACTATTTTGAGCTTTAAAATCAAATGAATTTAAAAGATATTACCAAAAATATTTTTACCATCTAAACTCGAATAAACTTGGTTTAAAAAAGCTTATTTTTCAAATTCCACCATTCTGGAGAATTGCCCAGTTGAGACTTTTTAAGATTGCCAGTTAAAATCAAAGTGAGAAAACTCAAAGTCTACGATTTAACAAAATCTTTCATTAAAGAGTTGGAATTTTATAAAAATATCAAAATTTTCATTCAGATTTCAAAAGATTTTCATAGAGGCAATGTCAAAATACAACTGGCTAAAATTGTTGATTTCACTTAAATTACTTTATTATTCAAAATACTATTGTGATTTTCTGAAAAATAAGAGAAAAAGGATTCTAAGCTCAAAAGATAACATAAAATCAATAATTAATGATCATTACAATTTTTGAGTTTGTCTACATTCAAAATTTGGGATTTTTATATTTCCATGTGATTTTAATTAAAATGCTTATGCTGTTAGAATCTTAAACGCTGCTTTAAAAGCGATAAATGCCATGAATTTAGTAAAAATATTTTTTTTTTCAACAAAAATATCTATTATAATATCTTCGAACATGTTTATATTCTTGAACAATCAAATGTCAAAGAATTGGATTTTGACATTGCCACTCTCTGGATTTTCATTATAAAATTTCATTATTGTTTCACGAGTTGAACGGTTTTATTTTTGTTTTTAAAATTGATTTTATCTAAAATAATGAAAATCGTTCATAAAATATTTATTACTTTTAAAATTTAAAAAAAATATTGGAAAATTATCAGAGATCGAAGCCGATTTTTTCGGCTTAACTCAATTTTTGATTTTTTTGATAAAAAAAAGCTATTTAACACACATTTCAAGTATTTATATTGGACTTTACATGCTTTACTATGATTTTGTGTAATATTTTGTCTGCATGTAGCTATAGTAAGCTCAGAATTTCAAGTTAAACGATGTTAAGCCGATCGGCTTAAATTTCGGCTTAACATCGTTTAACTTGAAATTCTGAGCTTACTATAGCTACATGCAGACAAAATATTACACAAAATCATAGTAAAGCATGTAAAGTCCAATTTAAATACTTAAAATGGTAGTTAAATGGCTCTTTTCTATCAAAAAAATCAAAAATTGAGTTAAGCCGAAAAAATCGGCTTCGATCTCTGAAAATTATGTCTATGGAAAACTATTCTATGAAATTCTAGTAGATAGTAGATTAACCCAAATGAAAAATAAAGTTTAAATTTGACAATTCTATGAAAAGCAATTAAATAAGCTACAACTTTTTTTTACCTGATCAATATTTTATTGTAAAATGGTGAAAATTTATTTATTGTAATGTTATTTAATGATTTGCACAAAAGGACAATAAGTCCAGTAAGAAATATAGGTGTATTAAATATCTCACTGTGAGGTAATAAATCCACCAACGATTTCAAGTGATCTTTTTGCCTCATGGTGAGATATTAAAGACGAATTCTAAAAATGTTGCGGATTTATTAACTTCAATTGAAGACAAAAATCCCACGTACAAATGAAAGTGATTTCTTTACCAGCACGTGAAAATAATTATTTCACGTTAAATTTTAATTTCATCTAAAAGGAATTATTGTCTTGCAGTGTAAATATTAAGACCACTTGAAAAATTAAAATTTTATAAGTGGCCTTATTGTCTCTCCGTGATTTTTCCAGAGCTCGAAGTCGACTCGAGTCAACTCGGGTTTTTTTGAGTCGACTCAACTTTTCTCGAGTCTACTTAATTTTCTCGACTTGAGTCGACTTCGAGTCAACTCGGTAATTTTTTTTGTATGAAGAAGTCGACTTCGAGTTGACTCAAGTCGAGTCTACTCAGAGTTGACTCCGAGAAAATGAAGTTGACTCGAGAAAAGTTGAGTCGACTCAGTTTTGAGTCGTTGGCAAACATTTAGTTCAACTTTTTATTACTTTAGCTGCTATTTATGATCAAAAAAATATACATATTGCTACAACCTTCTATCATAATTCGTCTCAAAATAGGCTCAAAAGTCTATATTTACGCCGAAATTTGAATACCATGGTTGTTACTAATATGTTACCTAGTAACTCATTTACGCATAAAAAAAACATTTTTTACTGTTATTTCGTTGTAAAGAGGATTTAACAATGATGTTGTTAAATTTATATTTCAAAAAAAAGAAGTTAACAATTTCATCGTTAAAATTATTTTTACAATCAATTAACGATCAGATTGTAACAATGGCCATTGTTAATAATAAATTTTAAATAACTTAACTTTTCTTATGTTACGAATATTCTAAATTAAATAAAAATTCATTATGAAAAGTGAGTTTTCTATTTCTGAGGACTTAAGAATTACAGTGCGTATGATTCGTTTAGCCGCACACAGTTTTTTGCTTTTTTCTTTCTAATATGCAACTTATAAAAATTCAGCGATACTGTCAAATATTCTTCACTTATTACGTAATCAAGTAAGCTATAAATGATATTTTTAAAAAAAAGGAGGAAAGAAAAAAATGAAAAAATAACGAAAATTTGGATTCTGAAAGTATGATTCGTTTAGCCGCACTAAGGAAGAAAAGTATTTTATTTGCCCAAAACGATGAATTAGTATTTTGTTTCGTGTCCATTCTTACGTATGAGTTCAATTAGACGATTTTGCATGGAATTGACTAAAGTTTCTAATATCTGTATTGATAAATTTCGCCAGCAATTACGGACTTCAACTTCAAGCTCTTTAATGGATGAGCATTTACGACCTCGACTATATACTCGACGGGCAAGTATTCCCCATAGATTCTCTATTGAGTTCATGTCGGGTGATCTGCTTGGCCAGTCGAGAACAACGATATTTTTGTTACTAAACCATTCCATAGTCTTTTTACTTTTATGAATTGAAGCATTATTTTGGAGAAAAGTGAAGTCACCATCCATAAAATCGTCCGTAAATGGAATTAAAACATCGTCCATGAGCTGAATATAGTTGTCTGAGTTCATCCGAGTAGTAACTTTTGCAATCGGGGTCTTAACATGCATTGAGAATGCTGCCTAAACCATTAAAGAGCCACCACCAAAATTTCTAGAGTAGTTGAATTGCTTTTCGTTTTTTAATCGTCCCAGTAGTTTTGAGATCCTTCAGGTCCATCAAGATTAAATTTTTTCTCATCTGAAAAGACCACATTTGTCCACTCCGTAGTCCAATGAACGTATCTTTTTGCCAAATTAAATCGTTCTACAATATGCTTAGGATTCCACATAGGTTTTTTCATCTTCTTGATATATTTAAAGCAATATTTTACAAACTTGAGCTTTCTTAATAGGCAGATCTAATTCACGTATGATATCATTAGAGAAGTAGTTTTCCGTAGAAGCAAGTTGAATTGCACGATTTTTGTCACGATTTGTAATTTTTGTATTGCCCTTTGTCTTCTTCTTCTTGCCATAATCTTTTCCTTTTTTTCAAATTCAAATTCAAAAATAGTTTATTAATACCTAGCGGTAGTTTCATTCAGTTACAGTAATGCGGTACATTTATTTTGTGAGGAATGTTCATGTTGAATTCATAAACGGAATTTCATATGTGGCAGTAATTAAATTCATTTTTTGTGAGAATGATTTTTAATTTTACCGACGACACTTTTAATTTTAGGACTGCTTGATTGTCTATTGTTATGTACGGAAACTGGGCGAAATCCCATAGAAGAATTCATTCTTTCAGTGAGGGTAGTTTCTTTTGGCATCAAACGGTCGAAGATAGAACGTGAGAGAATTTCAGAATTGCGAGAAGAAGTAGCGGTGTGATAAGAGAAACCGTGTCGATTTTTGTTTACTGCAGGTCTGCGATTTGATGTGCTTGGATGAGCAGAGTCATTCGTAAGACGATTGGTGATCTTTGATGCTTTATCAATAATAGACATCTCATTCACCTCACTTAAAATAATGTCATTTAGACCTATGTTAGTCCAAACATCTGAATATTCACGACCAGAAGCAAGCTGATGGTCTGTTTCAAATTTTAGTATAGTCGGAATGATGTGAAATGTGGCACTTAAAAACGTAACAGGACCGTAGAGATCCTTTAATGTACAGAGGAGACGGTCTGTAATATTGGAGCGCTTTAGTAGGAAACGCAAATTGTATGTATCGGTGTCATCATTCCATTCCAGACGAATTCCATAAATTGATTTAATGTCCAATAGATTAGTATCGTCTCTGAATTTGAGAAAGTTAAAAATTATATCGCATGGTTCATCTCGTAGAGAGGAAGCCGAAACATTGACAATATCATTGTTGCATAATCCATAGGGATGAAAGTTATTTTGACAGGGAATAGTAATCGCCGAAGATCCAGAAATGATAACTAGAAAGACTAAAGACTGGTTAATTAGTAAATTTAGTTTGCCCTTACAGATTCTCAGAATATCCAATTTGCTTTCGGCACTTAGTTTCATATTTGTGTGCCGTTCCTCGAATAATTTCACTAACCATGAATTCAGTTGGCTATTATTGGAAATTTCAAACAGAACGGAATTTGATTTGAAGCTAAGTCCACAAATATTCAGTTTCTTCTGATCGATAAGAAACTCGGCTAGTTTAGCGGCAGGAGGTAAAAGATTAGAGCCCTTAGTATACAATTTAAGCACGACATTGTCTAAAGATTCGTTGCTGGTCTTCGTATTGTCAGAGAAGGATAAATCCTGATCTGTTGCAAAAATCTGCAATATATCGTCACTCACGATATCACTCATAGTCACAACAGCCAATAATAAATCATCAATTTGATGAGAAGTTAATGTAACTATTCATTTTTACAAAATTCACGTAATTTTTCAAAAAAAAAAGAAGTTATGTAAATAAAGAGCATAGTTTGATACCCTTGAAGTTCAGAATTTGACCAATTTGACAAGGATTTCACTGATTGCTGATGGTAGAATTCATAAGAAAGTTTCAAAGGGGCTTAGTACTTTCGTTGTTTATAAACATGAAAATTTATGTATTTTATGAATATATAAATTAAATTAACGACGTCTAAATCTTGAAATTTCTAGCTGTAAACTGGCCGTGCTTAATAAGTGATGAGTTACATTCCAGTAAATATTTCTTCAATTGAGTTTTAAAAAGATGGAAATTTTGTGTTGATTTTATGCTGTCAGGTAACTGATTAAATAATTTGCAGCCAGTATAAGTGATATCATCTGTCATTAGTTTCTTTTTAGCTCTGGGCAACAATAAATCACGACTTCTTTTACTTTTTAGTTTTTCGACTTTTGGTAGTGATTTGTCTTGATTTTTTCGTGTTCACTTTAGTCGACTTGAAACCGACTTGAGTTCACTAAGGAAAAAAAATGTAATATACCAAACTGATTTCTGCTAGTGCTTGTGAAGTATATGTGATTACATACAAAATTGCAGAATTTGTCCTTTTTTTTCATAATCATAAAGCAAACTAAACGAATTAATTTAAAATATTTTTTAGATTTCATATATTTTTTTTTGCACTATAGATTATTTTTCTGATTTGAAATTATTTATTACGAACTGCTACAATTATGAATGAAATTATTTTAATTCACACCATATTTTCAATTTTGGTGAATATATTTTAATCTCATATTTATTTGTTTGACAACATTGATATATTGATAAGTGCACTGAATGAATCGTAAATTCTATTTTTCTTCTCACTTGTTTTTAATTTCACCATTAAATATAACACTTTTTTTTTAATTATAGAGTTAAATTTCTTTAAGGTACAAACATAAATAATGAAAAAAATTTAAAACTTGAATTATAATAAACTGGAAGTTTGAAAAATATTTCAAATTAATTCGTTTAGTTTGCTATATGGTTATGAAAAGTAAAAAAGGACAAATTCTGCAATTTTGTATGTAATCACATATACTTCACAAGCACTAGCAGAAATCAGTTTGGTATATTACATTTTTTTTCCTTAGTGAACTCAAGTCGGTTTCAAGTCGACTAAAGTGAACATGAAAAAATCAACTCGGTTAAAAGTTGACTCGAGTGAACACGAAAAAATCAAGTCGGTTTCAAGTCGACTAAAGTGAACACGAAAATATCAACTCGGTTAAAAGTCGACTAAAGTGAACATGAAAAAATCAACTCGGTTAAAAGTCGACTCGAGTGAACACGAAAAAAATGAGTTCACTCGAGCTGACTTGAAACCGATTGAAATTTTAGTGAAGTGAAGTGAAGTGAAACGACTTCACTTCACCAACTTCGACCTCTGCTTTTTCGTCTCTATTAATTCGCTTCGCAAAATCCCGATTGGACAGCTCAATTGATTTTAAGTGATCAATTACAGCCTTTTCAGTCTCCTTTAGGTATTTTCCTTTTGGCATGATTAAATTTTTGTTTTTTAATCAGTAATCTAATGAATTAATAGCGTTACTTTATAGATAATAATCTATATAATTAAAATTACTTACAAATTAACTTTATTTGTTTACAATATCCACTGAAAATACTTTTTTCCTTAGTGCGGCTAAACGAATCATACTTTCAAAATCCCAATTTTCGTTATTTTTTCATTTTTTTCTTTCCTACTTTTTTTTTTAAAAAATATTATTTATAGTTTACTTGATTACGTAATAAGTGAAGAATGTTTGACAGTATAATTGAATTTTTATAAGTTGCATATTAGAAAGAAAAAAACCAAAAACTGTGTGCGGCTAAACGAATCATACGCACCGTGTAAATATTTAAAAAAGTTAATATTTTATTAAATAACTTGTATTTGAATTAATTTTCGTTATTTAAATAAATAATATAAAATTTTTAAATGAATTTCACTTTGCCATGTCTTTCAAGTATCTAAACTTGTAGAATATTGTCTGGAAATTATTATTTATTATTTTAAACTAAAGATAGTTATAGATAAAGTTTAATTAAGATTTTTTAATTTCGTTTCTAAATGACACAGATCAGACAAATTTGTAAACAATGAAATATTTTATTGCAAACCTGTAAAATCTCGCGACACACTAAATGACTTTTACGAATTTTTTGAAGTCATACAACATGAAGGTAGGGCCAATATTAGCACTTATTCTTTTCGCGGCACGCTAGATTACCGAATGGTTAATGAAATATCAGTTTTTTGCGAACAAAGTGAATTATTAAGCTACCTTTTAGAAAACAGGTTTTCAAAAATGTGCTAAAAAAGTTAGATGAAATTGAAACAAAATATAATTTACTCACAATGTCATCCTTAATTTCCTCGTAAATTGCAGACGGTGCTTGATATTGAGTATCATTGTTTACGTCATTTTGTTGCTGATTAATATCTGTTTTTGACGAATCTGGTGAAATGGTACACTGTGTTTCGACTTTAGATTCGAAATCTTTTGGTCTACGCGGAATAGATGGTCTTTCAGGAATGTGTGGTTGTGAAGACGAAGATCTAATAATTTGCGATACATCAACAACGCCAGCCTTAAAAAATGTATATTAAAATAACTAATTATGTGTTATTGATTTACAAATAATAATAATAATACTTGATGCTTAGCTTTGTGCATTGGTTGGGGAAATTGTAACGGAAGAGGTGGTCTCGTAGGAGGTTTCGATGACTTTAGAACTGCAGAAGTTGTTGGTATTCCAATGCTATTGTAATCATCATTTGTTGAAATATCAATGTACTCGCACATTGGTACACAATTAGATGTACATAGTGAAATTTCATCAAAAACTTTCTTCAACCAGTCTTCAGTTTTTAATCGAATAATAAAATCTATTCCTTGAGCATTTATGTTACATTTGCGTGTTGCAGCAGCAAGAGCGGCCTGTCCATCCTTTTATTTTTATAAAGTGTTGAAAAATTATTTTTAACTCGATTACTCAATAAGCATCTAAGACCTTAAATTACCTTAAATGTAACCCACATTGTTTCACCAACAAATCTCACAAGTGTCACTTCGCCAAACTCGGCCAACTCTTGTACTAAAGAAGCTGTTATGTTTTCATCATATATGCTCTCACCATCATCTTCAGTTTGTTGATCAACAGAATTAATCACAACTGTGGCATCCGGTGGGCCAAGACTTTTTATAACATCATTGAACACATCTGATCTCCTATCAGCGTCAATATTAGCAACTTCGATATCTAAAATGGAAATTACTGGACGATGGTCAGATTGTTTCAATTCTGCTCGACCGTAAAACAAAAGTTTGCCAGGACTCCAATTTGGATTATCTGAGTCTGCCTGCTGCATCCTTCTACGCCACAATACTCGATCTGTCCAAGCTGGCGCTCTGCATTTTTCCGAAGTATCATAGTCCTCAGAAAAGAGATCATATTTATATGTTGGGAAAAAATTAATTTCACCCTCCAAGAAATCATTAAAAACTTGTCCAGCCTCTTGTTGTTTCTAAATAAAATATTAAAAACGTAAAAGTAAAAGAAAAAAAAATCGTATTATCAACTAGTCAGATCTCAATTCAGGTTACAGTCTAGATAGTTTAGGAACTTTTTTAGGAAAAAAAAAAAAAAAAAAAAAAAACTTTTACTTTGATCACCCTAGTTCGAGCTTCGCTCGAATGGTAATAGATTACAGAGTTACATTTAAACATCATTATATCCACATTATATACCGGATGTAAAATTCGTTCAACTTGTCCGAACTTCGTTCGTAAATTTTAAAGCGTATCTTTAAACAGAATTTTTAAATGTCAACACTTTGGGATGATTCCTAAGCCTGAAGCAGCAAGTTAAAAAATAATTTTCCTGAATTACCAGAAGCAAACTGGATATTATATTGTTTTTTTACCTTGTAATCCTCATGAGCTTTACAAAATTACACATTATAATATATATAATCCCTAACAGACAAAGAGCACGATCTGAGCATGATTTTTAAAAATCAATATTTTAATTTGATGACGCTAAATTAGCGTACTCTCCCATACAAATGGAGATCGCAGCAGGGTACCACAGAAATCACGCTCTCAAGAGTACGCTTTTTTACTTGCAAATTATTCATGCAAGTCAAACTTGAGATCATGATCAAGAACATGTTCTACTGATCATGCTTTAATTTTACTATTTAAAAAATTTTATGAGCTTGTGATTATGCTCTCGATCATTGTTTTTGAAAATTTGATATTATTATTCTTTTTTGGTTATTGCCGTGATTCGAACCCGAGCACGCTGTGTTGTAGTTTGTCCTGATAACAGTTCATCTTGTCTAATGCCTTGTGAAATTAAATAACTTTTAAATGGCTAAATGACATATTTAAACTATAGAAAGTCCAAAATAATTACTTATAATAGTGATTTCTGCTAGCGCTTGTGAAGTATATAGCAAGAAAAATTTTAACATAATCTCATGAGGATGTGAGTGATCATGATTTATATTACATTACAATACTTCCTATGTGGAGCATTTTATATTCTCTTCTAATCATGCTCTTGAGAGTACATAAAAGATTATGAAGTAAAAACTTGCATGCAAGTTATTTATAATTAGAGGATGATTTAGTCCGCTACTGAACATGCTCTTTACTGGGATCTTTAGAGGATGTTAAATAAGCGTATTCTCAACCACACTCTTAATCGAGAGCATGCTCTTTGTCTGTCATTAATGACTTAACAATAGATTTTGTATTGAGGAATAATTATGCCAAGGTCTAAAAGTGAGTAAATACGGACGATGGATATCCAAAAAAAAATTGACGCTATGGGTTCTAAATATTCATAATACAACGATTCGAGTCATTTTTGACCAAAATACATACTTTGGCTTTTCTATTTTTAACTTCCACGAAAAAGCGTGGTTTATTGTTTACCACGTTTTTAGCGCATTTTTGTATAATTGTATAATGCGAAATGTTCGTTCGTTCGGCTGCTCGTTCGTCTGAAGAAAAACTTTTTAAGCAGACATCGTAGAGAGCTCAGGTTTGCTTTATTAGCTCCGTTACTATTGTTTATTGTCCGATCGAACAATTAAGTCTTAAAACAGTGTATTTATACTATAATTAATGAATTTTTTATTTCATAAACAAAACCACGTGATGGGAACGTTTAAAAAAATTCAACATTACCTTTATAATTTCAAATTTTTTCTAGCCGTTTTAAAATTTAAGTTTCAAAAAACCGTTAAATGATTAACTTTTTCTGTATGGAAATTCATTGCAACAAATTATTAATTATACTATAATTGATGTTTTTGTAGTGCAACTTTTAACGGAAATATTTCAAATTATTTATTGACCGTTAAATAATAAAGCCTTTCTATATAATCACTCATTATAATTATTTGTTAATTACACTCAAATGAATAATCTTCTAAACTTCTAATGATCTGTAAACAAACGCAAAATAATTAGATAATCAAATACTGATCGCTTCGTCAAAAATGCGCTGAAGTCCCTCGATCAATAACACGAGGACTTTTGTAATCATATTCACACAAAATTTTTTTTTACTTTAAATTCGTAGAATCGCCCATATGTGGAATTATTGTCTTACACAAGATTAAGAACACTTCGAAAATTATAGTTTTTTCGAACTTTTTTTCTCTTATGTTGTGGAATTATTATTTTTCAGTGCAGTTGACTAGCCCCATTCGTGACAGCAAAAAAAGCAGTGCCTGGAGACAATTAAGTAATGACAGGCGACTGGCAAGTGGCAGATCACTGGATCAAAGTGATTTATTAAACTTCCCTTTAGAAAACAATTCATAAATTCACTTACTCTGAGCTGATCATGTTCTAGTATAGGCTGCAATTCGCCTTGCTTAATCAGTTCCTTCATTTCATCTTTATCCATATCAATGCGATAGTTAAAATCACCACACCAAAATACATAATCATGTCCTTTTAAAGTTCTGCCCATTGGAAATTGAATTTTTCGTGTAATTTCTGCATAGTCAGCATTTCTCTCTGCTACTTGTGATTGACCAGCGGCAAAATGAGCAGCTACGAAGCAAAAAGAAGTGCCATTTAAAACAAATCTTATTGCTACCGATCCTTTATTTCCAGTTGCTCCCCCTAAACCTGTTCTTACACAATCTGTAGCAACGTCACGAATACTTTTAGCTAAATGCGGTCTTACAAAGACATACAAACAGACTCCAACTAGCTGCTGACTTGTTAATAATGCATATGGCTCATCGTCTTTTGATAAAACTCTTTGAAGCTCTTCAGCCCCTGCAATATTTTTTTATATCAATTAAATTAAGCATAACTAAATATGTTTGTATTATATTACAAGCTTTTGAATTGTCACTACTGGCTGCAACAATGTTTTGTGCATTTAAGTCGACAATTTCTTGGAAGCCAATTGCATAGATATCTGCCATTTTATCATAAACCGAATCAGAGTGCTCGATATCAACAATTGCATCGTTTTTTGGAGCAAGCCAATCGATCAATGATAAATCTTTGTAGACAACGCTGCGAAAATGTTTTCCGCCGTTAACATTATATGTTCCAACAGCTACTCTCAACTCCTTAATTGATATATATTCACTGGATCTAATGCACATTTCTCGCAATACACTAGTCGGAGCGTGTAGCATGTTTGCTGGTAACAATATACGAGCTCGATCAGCCAGTTCTGAATTTAAAGTTGAGCCAACGAGTAAAATATCAATGGCCTCTTGTTTTGACGAGTCCAATAAATTATTTTGTATTGTTCTCGCTGCAGATCTAGCGCCGTCTATTAGTTTATTTGACGCTCCCATTGCACCTAAAACAAAACAATTAAATTCTTATATAAAAATTATTTTCAATAGTGAAGTGGATTAAGATATCTCACCCGTTCCAGCATAAATTTTACTAACTTCATTGCCATTAGATATCCACATTTGTTTGAAGACTTCCTCAAATCGCGAAAGAGTTTGCTTCTTGTCTGCAAGTCCAATAACTTTTATTTGTTCATGCAGTATATCTAAGCCGATGTAGGTTTGGACACAATTTGTTCTGTCTAAACAGTCAATACAATTTGTTCGAATTGTTCCATGTTGCTCTTTCACAATCTCATCTGCCGAAGCATAAAACAGTCCAAAATGTCTGCAACATTTGTCAATGCGTTCTTTAAGCTTAGATAAATTAATTTGATTGCCTCGGCATTCTGAATGATAATCGAAAATAATGTGAGGAACATCTCTGTGAGGCGAATTTTCGTGATGCTTCTGATATTCGTTGCTGAGCATTGCTTCTCCCTCTTTACTTCCAATTAAACTTGTGCCTAATAGATTACAAATCACTAGTCTTCCGTATCGTTTTTTCATTAGTGATAAGTGACGATCAAAAGCGGGTGCAGTAGCTTCAAAGCCACGAGACAATTTCACTTTATGTGATCCAATTTGCATACCTGGTTGCTCCCAGAATAGAGGAACTGATCCACGTGTCTGGACATAAGATGTAACATCAGAATCTAAATAAATAGCTTGTTCCGTTTCAACAAAATTTGCAACATGTCCATAATCATTTACACCACGGACACAAAACCTAGTTCCTGCGCGCTCACATGATAATCTTGATATAATAATTGCCCTTGCTTGTTTACTTCCAGCATAAACTGTTCTGATTTCAATTGATCCGCACATGGCCTTTAAAAGCCAAAAATCGCAATCTACATCGAAACGCAATAAATGAATATGAAGCATTCGATTCCAGAAGAAACGATTATCAGTTTCGCTTGTTTTGCGTCGACGTTGCGCACTCAATGTAATATCAAATAATGATTGTTGCTGATTTGATGAATTCCATACAAAGTAAAATGTTCCAGAATTTAAAACTTTACGTACTTCAGCGATTTTGTCTTCACTGTTATTTTGATTTTGCAATGATTTAAGGGGTATAAGCTGACTTTGTGTGATACGGAAAATTTCACAATCAGCAATTTTGCCAATACTAAAACATCCAGTGACCAAAACTAAATAAAGAATTGTTGACTCGTTAGCATTTAATTGTAAGCATCCTAAACAACCGTAAGCATCAACTATCTTCACGTAATTCTTCCTGATTGCTTCAGTTTCCTGACCAGCTAATAATCAAAAAATAGATCACAAAAGAAATACTTCATTTTAAGAAATGGTTGGAGGAAAAAAATCGATAAACACAAAACTGTTTTTTTTTTTAACTTACATAAGTTTGCTACTGTCATTGATTCAAATAAAAGCGTATCTGATTTAGATCTATGTTCCAAGATAATACTGTGTGGTTGTTCTGGTCTGCTTTTTTCAAGAACCCGAAAAGATTTTCCAAATGACATGATGATTTTATTTCACAAACACTTTTTCTTCAAACTAATGCACAATTCAATGAGTGGAGATTATTTCAAAACTATTTCAAACAAAACAAGATTACTGACGTGACACAATCATTGATTAAACTAAATTATCACAAAATGTTTTTTTTCTTTAGAAGCTTATAATAAAGCAACAATATTATCCTTATAACTGGACATTGACGAAAAATATCGGAAATTTCGTAAAAGGTTGAAAAATTATTGTTTTATTGTACAGTGACTTTTGGTGCTAAATCAGTGGTCTATCACTTATTAAGAATGAATGCTTCATAGGGAAAATGTAGTAACATCCAATTCAACATTTACGACTGAATATCTTTTAAATTCCAAAACATATATTAAGTTTGAACCGGTTCATAAATCGGTTCAAACATTGGGAGAAATGAATCTTTAAAAACTTTTTAATTTCTCAACCTATTTTAAAGATCTTTTATTTTTATGAAAGCTTATAAGTTTGCTATCAACTATTGCAGCGTTTAAGATTTTCAAAACAGAATGAGATCTTAAGCTCAAACCTTTTGAATTTGATGTTCCAATTTTTTTAAAACCGGTTGAATCGGTTCAAACTCAATATAATAAACAAATAAATTCACAAAATTTTAAAATTGAAATAAAATTCATCATCTACTTATAATGAATACTAAATTGGCGTTACCAAGTAAAAAGCAATTTCGCTATGTTGCCAACCAATTAGGGGTGTCAAGTACAAATCTCAAGTACTTAAGTATCTTGGGTTTTTTTCACATACAATGAGCATACATAGAGCACATTATTTGTGAGCGTGCAATCTTTTGTGAGAATGTGCTCATTTGATACATCAAAGTGATGCGATCACGGTACTTTTTTGAGCATGCTCAATGAGCATATTCCTATGTGACATGCATTAAGCTCACTGAGTAAACTCAAAAGCATACTCAAATGAGAAGATTACATGTCACATGCAACATTTTTTATTGAATATACTTATGAACATACTCAATATGCATATAATTGGTGAATATACTCATGAAAATACTCAAAGAATATATACCTACCCTGTTATTTCGTTATAAGCTAGTAACTTAGTCAATAAATTAAAATTCAATGAAAATTTTGAATTTTTTATCTTAATTAAAGAAATTTGGCTATCTTCTAGATTTTATTTCATTGACAATGTCATAAGGGGCCGTTCACCTATTACGTTCGCATTTTAAGGGGGAGTGGGGGTTTGAAAAATTGTAACCAAATGTAACATAGGGGTGGGGGGGGAGGGGGTGTCAAGAAGTATGTAACGTTCTATCTGTCGTCTGTCTAAAAAAGTTCACGAAAAAAATTTGTTCACAAATTCACACCAAAAACATTTTTTTCAGCCAGATCTCTTTTGATAGCTAAGCAATACATAGTTTTTGTTATATAAAGTAACAAATCAATAGAAAACTGGTTTACAAGACTTTAAAATACAATCATAATTTGTTGAAATTTTCAAAATTAAATCAATCATAAGTTTAAAAATAAATCTCTCTGAATCTGTCATTCATTTGATGATTAATATGATCCCATCATTGTGATATTTACATTCAAAGTAGATTGAATTTTCCAAAATTCGATCGGGCATAATATTTTTGAATTTTCTTCAAAAAAATTTTTTTTTGCTTTATATCTCAATCCAATAATTTATGAGAATACTAATAGTATCAATCAAAACATGACCTATTTAGCTATACAGTATTTTGATGTTTAAGAAAAAAAATACAAAAGAATTTAACCGTCTTTTTAAAATAAAAAATTATCAAAATAAAATAAATTATGAACGTTCAGGGGGGGGTTGTGAGTTGTAACATATTGTAACAAGGGGGGGGGGGGTGAAAAAAGCGTCGTTTTTTTGCGTAACGTAATAAGTGAACGGCCCCTAAGACATTCAAACTGATACTTAGAAAGTTGAAAAAGATTAATTAAGCTTTATTTTTGGTAGTAGCTTAGTAAAGATTACAAAAAATTTTCAAGTTCAAAATAACTTTACTAAGCTAGTAGCTTAGTAACGAGTAGTACCTTATAACGAAAAAACAGGGTAAGCTACTAGCTTTTAACGAAAAAACAAGATAAGTATCTCGTTTTTTGATGGACGTCATTTATGAAGAGCCCCTTATATTAAAAACATTCGAAGCTAAAATAATAAAAATTGCATTTTCTTTGCAAATAAATCAAATCTGATAGAAATAAAGCCGTCAAAAGTAAGCAATAAGATTTAATAAATAATTTACGCTTTAAACAACAGTTTGGATTACATACTTAACAAAGATATCTATATATATATATCTACATAAACATATATATATATATAGATATAGATAAACATTGAATACGTATTTAAATTTGCTAAAATTTTAGGTATACGTCGAATCAGCATGTCTCACAGCATATTACTGATCCAACCCAGTAGTAGTCCAGAAAGTCGAACATATAGTGATTATGAAAGCGTAAACGATTGCTTAGAAGGAGTCTGTCGGATTTATGAAGAGCATTTGAAACGTAGAAATCCTCAAGTAGCTCAAATTACTTATGACATCTCTCAACTTTTTGACTTTGTTGACCAATTGCGCGATTTATCAGTCCTAGTTTACCAGAAGTCCAGCAACACATACGCACCATACAACAAGGAATGGATCAAGGAAAAAATATACATTTTACTGCGCAAAGCTGCTGGTACCGACACATGAATAATCTGTATTAGCCATAAATGATTTTTAAAAAACTCCAAATCTAAGATCTATGATCTATGAATAATATAAAAATAAAAAGTATAATAAACAAGAATTTTATCTGGATCTTAGAAAATCTGAGTGTTTGCAAACTGCTCCACAAATTACATTATTTGATTTTTTAAGCAAAATTTTACACTTTCTAGGTATCTAGACAACTATTCATTGTCTTTAACCTGTGCATTCTGTCTTCTTTCATGATTCTGTTCGCTTAATTCGACTTAAAACACAGTCAATTAAAAGGGCGACCTGCACAAATATTTTGTTAATTAAAGCACGTAGAAGGAAGAAATAAAGATACTATAGTAGAATTCAGAGTGTTACATACTCATACATATTTAGTTGTTGGATTGCATAGATCATATTTAAAAAATAACTGAAAACACAATTTTAAATTTTGAATCAAATTTTATGCGGGAAGTTCGTCAAAAAAAAAAGTTTGTGTCAAAAAATATTAAAATAAAAATAAAATAAACTAAAGCTATGGAGAATGACTGCTCAGCATGTCAAAAAGGCTTCAAAGTTGGCGATAAAGCTGTAAGATCCAACTGTGGTCACTTTGTTCATTGCTTTAAAGCTGATTGCTGTGAAAAAGAGTAAGTATTCCATAAAAACAAAGAGGACAAAAATAACCAGATTATTCTCTAGCTTTTGTCGACAGTGTAACAAGGAGTTTCGAGTAAGTTCGAACTCCCCAATTGTTACTTTGAGATGCACTAGTCAAAAATACGAGAATATAGTAGATGAGGAAGAGATTAAGCCAGAAAGACTTGAAACAAGTCGGGTTAAAGAATATTTTAAAGGCAATACATGTGATGAGCGCAATTCTTATTACTTAGAGAAACTTGAGGAACAGAGAAAGATTAATTTAGAAATCATGAAAAAGATTAATTTGTTGACCAACAATCATGAATGTTTGATAAAATTAATATCAGAACAAACTCAAAATTTCAAGATTATCGTAACAGAGTTGACGTAAGAAATACTAATAATAGTCTATTTAGCATGTCTTGCATCCTGTAATATCTTTTATTTTTTATCTATTAGAAAAATGCGCACAGAAATTGATAAGGTTAAAACGGATGTTAGTGAAGTAACAGAACGAGTTGTGGATTTACTAAACGAAGTTTTTGAAGAACCATGCACACACTGTTAACTGTCATGCGCATTTTTTGTTCACACAAATTTAGAGTAAAGAATAACGGTCGCTTTAACTTTAAATAAACATTTTCTATGATTATTCAAATTTGTTTGTGCTTACCGCACTTTTTATTGTTATTATTTCTTTATTGCACAAACTTTTCAATTGAATTAAAATTAAAAAGATAAGATGAACGATAGTTTAGTGAAAATTAACAGTTCCTTCGTTTCTGAGCGTATCAATAAGATACGATTTATAGAGGAAGAACAACAGCAATTGGAACCGACAAATTTCTTAACTGCATCGTCAGAAATTAAAAATAATGTGAAATTATGGAAGTTGGAAAGAAACAAGTATGCAGATGAGTTTATTGAAAATGAATTTACACCAAAAGTGATCTCAAAACTGACTCTTGATGGCGAAGAAACTACTGGACTCGAAATAATAGATCATAATAACTTTGCTGTATCTTGTGGAAGTAGCGTGTTTTTAATATATATCAATCGAGATGCTAATATTATTCGACAAAATTTTAAATTTAGTGATATACACTCATTTAAAACTACTGGATCTACATTATGCACTGGTATGTATCATATATTTCTCATATGTTCATTATTCCATTAGATTTTCTTTTCTTTGAACTAGGTATTTCAGTTTCCGGTGAAAACATTAGTACCATTGGCGAAGATGGAAGAATTAATATATTATCTGCAAACAGTCAGAAGATTGTAACTACACTCGAGAATACAGATTCCGTTACACAAACAGCAGTTTGTTTCAACTATAAACAACTAATAACAGGAAATCGTATGGGAATTTTAAAGACTTTCGATTTAAGATGTACTAAAAGAGATCCATCGTCAGTATTTGAAATATCTTCACAGGATCAAAAGAAGTGTTATGGTGTAACTAGCATCATTCATCATCCAACACAAAATCATATAATCTTATGTGGGTCAGAAGAAGGCTCTATAACAGTTTATGATCTTAGAAATCCTTCATTTCCTGCAAGTTACCTCTGTTCACACAACTATGCTATTACTGAGCTTATGTTTCATCCAACTCAACCAGATAAATTATTTTCTGCCTCGGCTAATGGTGAATTATGGAAGTGGACTCAAAATATGATGCAAAATATTACGCAAGACTATGATGGAAATAACCAGGTGGATTCTATAAACTCATGGCTGAATGGAGAACGAGCCAAAAATAAAATATCAATTACAACAATGCTGAGCGGCTTAAGAAAGTCCATTACATCCATTGATTGCTCAAAGCAATCGCGATTAATCTGTTCAAGTAATAATGAAGCCGTCTATATAATTGATAATTCATTTTAAGTCCATTTTTTTTATGTCATTGAGTTGATTTTATAATGCCAATAAGAAATGAAAATGAGCAAATTTGCTATATTAAATGTAACGGATTTTTTTTTCTGCTGCTTCAATTTAAAAACTCGATTATCTGATTTGAAAAATTGCAGTATCCACTGTATACAAGGCTTTTGTTATTTGTTTATTTCAGTTTTAATAGAATTGTTGTCTGAAAACAAAGGAAAATGAGAACATTGATCAGTATATTTTTAGTATTCATTTTTGGTAAGCAATTTAATGATCGCCATATTTGAACAAAATAAGTTGTATTTTGAATCGTAATTAATTAATAAACGATTTTTATTTAGCTACTGTAATATCTTGTTCCGTTATTTTGGGTCGAAATCATTGCACTTATGGACCTGCTTATTGGTGCTCGAACATAACGTAAGTAAACACTTGTATAATTAGTGTCTCTATTTCTTTTAATTTTATAAAATCGAATAAAATGTCACTAAGGCTATCATTATCGTTAACTTATTATTATTTTCATTGCTGTAAACCAAACAGATTAAGACGCAAATGTTATACTAAATTCATTTCAGAAACGCAAAAAGCTGTGGTGCAGTAAGTCATTGCATTAAGACTGTTTGGGAGAAGCAGCATGTACCAGAGGATAGTGATTCAATTTGTCAAATATGCCTTGATATGGTAAAGCAAGCGAGAGATCAGCTTGAAAGTAATGACACAATGGAAGAGATTAGAGAAGTTTTTGAAGGATCCTGTGACTTAATTCCCATTTCTGTTGTGAAAAAGGAATGTAAGCGATTAGCAGATGATTTTATACCGGAACTGATAGAAGCCTTAGCATCACAAATGAATCCCCAGGTACATGAAATCGAAACTTCAAAAATGAATGATTCACCAATTTATTTTAAAATTATTATTCTGATTGCCGTAGGTTGTTTGCTCGACTGCTGGACTTTGTAATAATGCAGCGATTGATAAATTGTTGGAGGAAGATGAGGCACAAAAGCAATCCTTCAATTGCGATAAATGTAATAACGTTGGAAATGCAATCTCAAATAAATTTCATACATCAAGTCGTGACCAAGTATTCGACGGATTTTTATCAGCTTGCGGTCGTATGTCATCATTTTCTGACGCCTGCTCAAGCATTGTGTCAACACATTTTGATAATATTTATGATGAGCTGTCAAAAAACTTGAAAGCTGACAACATATGTCATATTAGTGGAGCATGTTCAAGGCAATATCATAATCATGACTCAAAAAGTATTGAAATTAAAACTGAATCAAATATTAAATTTATTTATAAAAAGGATGATATTTCATGCGAGTTGTGCGAGCAGCTAGTTAAGCATTTGCGTGATGTATTAGTTGCAAATACCACAAAACAAGAATTTAAAACAGTTCTCTTGGGCTTATGTTCGCAAACTAAAGGATTCAAGCAAGAATGTAATAGCATCATCAATCAATATTATGGAATCATTTATGAGATGTTAGTAAATAATTTGGATGCAAATGGTGTTTGCTTCTTAATTGGACTTTGTGATAAGGGTATTAAGGGAAATGTACCTAATATGCCTTTACTACCTTCGGAGCAAGTTTTTCCTAGAAAACGTCTTGGTCAACATGAAAAAATCTTTAAAAATGAACAGATTCAGTCAATGATATTACCTATTGATCAACTGATGGGAGCAAAATCATCACTTGACTTGATTGATGGCGGTGAAAAATGCGAAATTTGTACATATTTCTTTCATTTTCTTCAGGAGGAACTAAGTGACGCTAAAAATGAAGACCAAATTAAGGAATTGGTCAAGCAAACTTGTTCAAAATTTCCGTCATCTATTCAGCCAAGTTGTAACAGTTTTGTTGATTTGTATGGTGATACTATAATTGCACTTTTAGTGCAAGAAATTGACCCACGTGATTTATGTCCAAAGTTAAAATTGTGTCCAGAAAAGACTTACATTACTGAAAATACCGAAAATACTATTAAAACGGAAAAGTCAAATTTCATTCCGCATATTATCGTAACCAATGATATCGCTGATAACACAATTGATAGTCAAATTATCGATACAGGTTCTGGAGAATGTCTTTTATGTATGTCTGTTGTTGCTGCTTCCGAGTCAAAAATATCACGAAGCATGACAAAATCACAAATTGAAAACGTTTTAATGCGCGAATGCTCTAAATTCCATCCATATCAGGAAATATGCAATAACTTTGTTAAAAAAAATGTCGATGAGATTATGGATTTACTTTCTGTACACCTTTCATCTATGCGAATGACACCAAAAGAAATTTGTCAAAAATTAACACTTTGTGCGATTGAAGACGATTTAAATATTGATGAGGCTGTAATGATTAACGTTTTTGCTATATCAGAAGTCCCAATTGTTAGTCGTGCTTCATTGACAAAACATGATCCAAACAAGATCGTTCAAGCTGATCCACAGTGTGTGCTTTGTGAATTTATTATGGCAAAATTGGAACAAGAACTCAAAGATAAGCATACTCAGGAAGAGATTAAGCAAGCAGTAGAAAATATTTGCAGTAAAATGCCAAAATCCATTACAAAGAAATGCACTACTTTCGTAGATAATTATGCTGAATTAATTATAACTTTAATTAATAGAGTTCCTCCAAAAGAAATATGTACTGAAATGAGCTTATGTGCACCCACAAATAAAAGAAAAGCACTAATCCGGGATTCTGAATAAACTTGCGCAGGAACAATCCATATCTGTAGACTTAAAAGTTGCTGAAAAGTGTAAAGTAAGTATTTCTGTATAGATAAACAAAATTTCATAGTTGATATCAGTTAAAAAATTATCAACAGTAATTTTTTGTTACCCAACTTTACAGGTAGCTGAATATAGTAAGAAAAAAGATTGGAATGTTCGCCTAAAAAGCCATATATACTCTTACGTAGAATAGCGATATTGTGATTAAAATCTCATTTATGCTAAGATAAGCAAAAATAAAATAAGACATCAATGGATGTCAATAAATAACAAATTTATTGTAAATTTACATGATTTATTTACTCTAAAAATGTCTGTGCACATAATATTTTGAAAAAAGAACTACAAAACTCATTTATTCTGATACTCTTTAAGTGCATCTTGCAATTTAATATCTTGTTTTTCCCTGACTTTTCGTATTGTGTTCTCTATAAGTTCTTTTTGTTCCTTATTTTCAGGAGGATATAACTCTCGTTTTGTTTGAATTACCTGTAAAAATACGAAGGAAAAAAAGCAGTATAATCGATGATTTGAACTAATATTACGTATAATTACCCATTTCTCAAAATATTCAGGCTGATTGAACCAATGAAATAATGCAACTGGGAATGACATATACAGTCCCATTTTAAATACCTCCAATTTCCATCCACCCATGTTTTAATGCTCTTAATTTAAATAATATTATATTTTTATTTATTTTCAAAATTACTTTCTGAATCGGTTTTTAGCTCATTTCTTTAGAAAAAATGGCACTTAAAAGTCCACTTTGGCTGGTTCAAAAGACTTTTTAACGGAAGCAGTAAAATCTACGGGATTTTTACATTTAAAAGCTGCTATTTTGTAAGATCCAAATTTTAAACTTTTAAATACTTTAATTTTACTTAACTTAACGCTTTATGAAAACCAGCTTAATATCTTTATTTATTATTATATATTTATAAACATTATTCTAATCAGAGAACTGGTTGAAGAAAGCTCTGTTTCCTGAAAACTGTTTCAATTTGGAGAAACATCAGAACTGGAAACAAAAAGATCGACAACTCCATCGTACTGGGGAAAAAACAGCAAAACATCAGAGCAACAAAAGACAATTTCCATAAACACGGAAAGCAACAACAACAAAAATCAAAACCACCTCCAATTGTCATCAGCACAGGTGAAGCTGGTGAAATCAAGAGGTTGACGAATGAAATAAAAAATCAACCTGGAAGTTTCTTAATTGAGACCAAAAAGGGCAAACAAGGAACAAAAACGGTAACAACGGAGAGTTGGGATGACTACGAGAAATTCATCCAACTACTCAAAGACAAAAAGCATCACTTCCACACACACTCCAGCCAAGAAACACTGAAGAAGTACGTACTCTATGGACTCCCAGATATTGAAATCAGTGAGTTGGAGAAGGAACTTCGAACCGTAAAAATCACACCAGTAAAAATTGTCAAAATGACAATGAAACACAATTCAGATGCTCTGAGCAACATGACTCGAAAACGTGCCAGTACATATAGAAAGAGACCAACAAGGTTCCACTCGGAAAACTCAAATGTTTCTTCTGCGGTGAAAAACATACAGCAATTTTCACAGGTTGTAAAAACAGACAAGAAATAATAGAAAAGTGGAAATCAAAATCACAGAATGGAAACAACCGAAATCAAAACAAAACAGCAGGCCATTATTCATATGGACAAAGGAGAAACAATCCTCCAACACCGCATCGTCCTGAGCGATCAACCAGAAACGTCCAACATGCACCAAAACCTCAATGGAGAAAGAAGAATGTGGAACCATCAACATCTAGTACACAAAAGCCTGCTCATCAAAAACAAGCTCCAGTCAACCACAAACCAAGGAACACAAATTCTCATCCAAATCACAAACCCTCAAATCAGGGAAATAAAAATAACTTGAACAACCAACAAAACAATAAAGAAAGAGGAAAACATTGGAAAAAGAATCAAAGAAAAAAGCAAAACAAGCGCATTAATAACAATCAACATCAAAAACCAAAGCAAGATGTTGAGCTTATGGACTCAGAAGACATCAGTGCAACAAGTCAGACCTCGAATGAAGTCTTCCCAGAACCTTCATTCAGTGTTGAGGTAGTGAATCGAAACACAACAACTAATCAACAAGCTCAAAGCACCAGCACAAGAGATAAAAACATCTCAGAAATAGAGGAATCAAAGTGCAAGTCCCTTATCAAAGTTCATCGACGAAATACTCCAAGCAATCGGCTCAAACGCCAAAAACACCGCATATAATAATGGATTGTAGACAACAAAGTATCAACGTCCTCTACTGGAATGCTAACGGCCTCACTGACAAAATGTAAGCATTCCTCGACTACCTAAGCAAGCAAAACGTCGATGTTGCTTGCATCTCAGAAACTAAAACCAAACTCAAAAATTTAATCGCATCCAGACTACGTAATTCATCGATTGGATCGCGTGGATAGACCAAAAGGTGGTGTTGCAATCATAGTGAAAAGAAATCTAAAACATCAGCTTCAACCAAGCTACAACACAAAGCTAATGGAATGCATTGGAATCAAAGTCTTCATCAATGACACGGATAGTTGTCACATCCTCTCAGTCTATCTCCCAGGAGGAAGCAAAGGAGGGGAAATAGATCTACATCTGAGAGATGACATCAACAAAATAACAAATCTGAGAGGAAATTATTACATCTGTGGAGACTTCAATGCCAAACATCCATTATCGATATTTTTTTGAAAATAGCCTACTATGATCAAAACCAAAAATGCTTTAATTTTCATTTGAAAACATATCTAGGTATTATAAATGATAAAGAATGCTATTATTGATATAAAATCGATATTTTTTTGAAAATAGCCTACTATTATCAAATCCAAAAATGCTTTAAATTTCATTTTAAAACATATCTAGGTATTATAAATGATAAAGAATGCTAATATTGATATAAAATCGATATTTTTTGGAAAATAGCCTACTATGATCAAAACCAAAAATGCTTTAAATTTCATTTTAAAACATATCTAGGTATTATAAATGATAAAGAATGCTAATATTGATGTAAAATCGATATTTTTTTAGAAAATAGCCTACTATGATCGAAATCAAAAATGCTTTAAATTGCATTTTAAAACATATCTAGGTATTATAAATGATAAAGAATGCTAAGATAGATATAAAATCGATATTTTATTTAAAAATAGCCTACTATGATCGAAATCAAAAATGCTTTAAATTGTTTTTTAAAACATATCTAGGTATTATAAATGATAAAGAATGCTAATATAGATATAAAATCGATATTATTTTGAAAATAGCCTACTATGATCGAAATCTAAAATGCTATAAATTGCATTTTAAAACATATCTAGGTACTATAAATGATAAAGAATGATAATATAGATATAAAATCGATATTTTTTGAAAATAGCCTACTATGATCGAAACCAAAAATGCTTTAAATTTCATTTTAAAACATATCTAGGTATTATAAATGATAAAGAATGCTAATATTGATGTAAAATCGATATTTTTTGAAAATAGCCTACTATGATCGAAACCAAAAATGCTTTAAATTTCATTTTAAAACATATCTAGGTATTATAAATGATAAAGAATGCTAATATTGATGTAAAATCAATATTTTTTGAAAATAGCCTACTATGATCGAAACCAAAACTGCTTTAAATTTCATTTTAAAACATCTAGGTATAGCATTCTTTATCATTTATAATACCTAGATATGTTTTAAAATGAAATTTAAAGCATTTTTAATTTCGATCATAGTAGGCTATTTTCAAAAAATATCGATTTTATATCAATAAAAGCATTCTTTATCATTTATAATTCCTAGATATGTTTTAAAATGAAATTTAAAGCATTTTTGGATTCGATCATAGTAGGTTTTTTTCAAAAAATATCGATTTTATATCAATAATAGCATTCTTTATCATTTATAATACCTAGATATGTTTTAAAATGAAATTTAAAGGATTTTTGGTTTTGATCATAGTAGTTTTTTTTCAAAAAATATCGATTTTATATCAATAATAGCATTCTTTATCATTTATAATACCTAGATATGTTTTAAAATGAAATTTAAAGCATTTTTGGTTTCGATCATAGTAGGCTATTTTCAAAAAATATCGATTTTACATCAATATTAGCATTCTTTATCATTTATAATACCTAGAAATGTTTTAAAATGAAATTTAAAGCATTTTTGGTTTGGATCATAGTAGTTTTTTTTCAAAAAATATCGATTTTATATCAATAATAGCATTCTTTATCATTTATAATACCTAGATATGTTTTAAAATGAAATTTAAAGCATTTTTAATTTCGATCATAGTAGGCTATTTTCAAAAAATATCGATTTTATATCAATAATAGCATTCTTTATCATTTATAATACCTAGATATGTTTTAAAATGAAATTTAAAGCATTTTTGGTTTCGATCATAGTAGGCTATTTTCCAAAAATATCGATTTTACATCAATATTAGCATTCTTTATCATTTATAATACCTAGATATGTTTTAAAATGATATTTAAAGCATTTTTGGTTTTGATCATAGTAGGCTATTTTCAAAAAATATCGATTTTTTATCAATAATAGCATTCTTTATCATTTATAATACCTAGATATGTTTTAAAATGAAATTTAAAGCATTTTTGGTTTGGATCATAGTAGGCTATTTTCAAAAAATATCGATTTTACATCAATATTAGCATTCTTTATCATTTATAATACCTAGATATGTTTTAAAATGAAATTTAAAGCATTTTTGGTTTCGATCATAGTAGGCTATTTTCAAAAAATATCGATTTTATATCAATAATAGCATTCTTTATCATTTATAATACCTAGATATGTTTTAAAATTAAATTTATAGCATTTTTGGTTTCGATCATAGTAGGCTATTTTCAAAAAATATCGATTTTACATCAATATTAGCATTCTTTATCATTTATAATACCTAGATATGTTTTAAAATGAAATTTAAAGCATTTTTGGTTTTGATCATAGTAGGCTATTTTCAAAAAATATCGATTTTATATCAATATTAGCATTCTTTATCATTTATAATACCTAGATATGTTTTAAAATGAAATTTAAAGCATTTTTGGTTTCGATCATAGTAGGCTATTTTCAAAAAATATCGATTTTACATCAATATTAGCATTCTTTATCATTTATAATACCTAGATATGTTTTAAAATGAAATTTAAAGCATTTTTGGTTTTGATCATAGTAGGCTATTTTCAAAAAATATCGATTTTACATCAATATTAGCATTCTTTATCATTTATAATACCTAGATATGTTTTAAAATGAAATTTAAAGCATTTTTGGTTTCGATCATAGTAGGCTATTTTCAAAAAATATCGATTTTATATCAATAATAGCATTCTTAATCTTTTATAATACCTAGATATGTTTAAAAATGAAATTTAAAGCATTTTTGGTATCGATCATAGTAGGCTATTTTCAAAAAATATCGATTTTATATCAAAAATAGCATTCTTTATCATTTATTATACCTAGATATGTTTTAAAATGAAATTTAAAGCATTTTTGGTTTCGATCATAGTAGGCTATTTTCAAAAAATATCGATTTTATATCAATAATAGCATTCTTTATCATTTATAATACCTAGATATGTTTTAAAATGAAATTTAAAGCATTTTTGGTTTTGATCATAGCAGGCTATTTTCAAAAAATATCGAT